CTCTGCTTCCTGAGTGACCCTCGTGCTTCTCTGTGGCGTCCCCCCCGGCATGGTCTGTCCCCCTCCCCTCAGGAACTGTGAGTAACAAACCATCTTCAGTGGCAGTATCTCCAGTCTGATGGCCTCGCTATACCTGAAAAGTAATATGTATGTATATTATATATATATGTGGGACATTGTGCTGTACACCAGAAATTGACACATTGTAACTGACTATTCTTCAATAATAATAATAAAAAAAAATAAATAAAACCTACCTTTTAAAACAGGGATGCGGCTCCCAGAGGCCAGGAGAGAGAGATGTTTGCATAGGTGACCACCTGGGATGTACGTCCAGGCGGCAAAGTGTCATGAGTGGCCAGAGGAGAGGTCTCTGCACCCTCTGGATACCGAGGCTAGTGGCCAGTGCCGAATGCCCCAGGAAGTGAATACTGCTGTGGCCCCATTTGGCTGAGGAGGCTCAGAAAGGGGAAATCGTTTGCCCGCGAGAGCTGGGATGCTGAACCAGATCACCTGTCTTGGGACAGTGACGGGATCCCACGAGAAAACCCCATGTGAGCTCAGTAAACTCTCTTAATGACAAGAGTCATTCATACAGTGACATTGAAAATGTGCTGGTTGGAGAGGGGGCAGGGAGAACAGGTGGTCTTTAGGGGGGGTCATTGTCTGGGGTCACGGAGGGTGCCAAGTCCTGGCCTCAGTCCTGCCTCCTGAAACAGCCCCATCCTGGAGGCTCTTCTCAGCATCCTGGGGATTTTAGTTCAATTTGGACATTCCTAGTAGAGGGAATTCCTCCTACAGGAAGATAGGCAGCAGGCGGAGGTGGGACGGGGGGGTGGGGCTGGAGGGTGGAAGGAGGGCCTGTCAGACCCGGCTTCCAAACTCGGGCCTCAGGCTGGCCCTTTGGGAGAATGCCTTCTCTCAGATTCCTTCAGAGATATGGAAGGTTTTCTCCAGGAAAACTTTTCTTACCAGATGAAAGTCCAGTTTCAATGTCAAAGTGTGGGCTGGACAATTGAATAGAGTCGGCCCTTAAAGGGACAGGCAACTCATGCATTTCCAACTGTATGCATTGCACTGGCCTGTGAGAAGAGAATTTTCTGGAAGGCGAGGAAGTGCCTGTGACAATTAGTCACCAACATGTCCCTGACACTGATGTCTACCCTTGCACACCCACTAGTGCAAAGCTAGGTGGGTACAGTTAATGCCCCCACTTTGCAGACAAGGAAACTGAGGCACGTACCACCTTGCTGGGGTCACAGAGGGAGGAAGTAGCAGCAGCGGGGTTTAGCCCTGCCGGGCTGACAGAGGCTCTGCTTTGAATGATTCTGACATCCCCTCAGTTCTTCACTTGTCCAAACTTTCAGCCCTGAGAAGACCTCCCTTGACCTTGGTTGAGAGAGGAGACTTTGAGGAGGGAGGGTAGAGCTCAGTGGTAGAGCGTGTGCTTAGCATGCACGAGGTCCTGGGTTCAGTCCCCAGTCCCTCCATCAAGTAAATAAATAAATAAATAAACCTAATTATAATAAATACACTTAATTACCTCCCCCGCTCAAAAAACAAGTTTGGGAAGACTCGGCAGCTGAACGGCTCAGCCCTGGCCGCCCACACGGGAGCCGGCTGCAGAACAAACGCCGGGACGGGTCTGGCTGCCACCCAGACCCAGCGAGTCAGAACGTGGGGGGCCGGGGTCTGGGGGTGGCTTTTTTAAAAACTCCTGTGTGCACACTGGCTCCTCTGCCTGGGCGCCCCGGGAAGACAATACCTTCCAGCACCCCACTGGTTCTGGGGTCCTAACTAGAGGCGTCAACCCAACCTGCACCAGGTTTTTGTGACTGAGAAATAAAGATTTCTAATGTCTCTTCGTGTGTAAAACAGTGGAAAGCAACGTTCCCCTGTGCAGGGCGGCTGGTTTACTGCACCTCGGCCGCCCTGCCATCGTCCGTGTCCCGGCCTCCAGCCCTGAGCTCCTGCCCCCGGGACCCGGGAGCACTGGGCACCACCCTGCTCCTCTGTCTCCCCGAGAGAGGGGCTGCATCTCCCCTCTTTCCCGACTTTTGCTAGCTCAAGGCAGTCCCCACGCCAGGTAATGATACTTTAAAACGATCCCTTGATGAAGTGATCTTTGTCCCTCTGAGACCATCCCGGGACAACCCGATAAAGACTCGGCAAGCCCTGAGTTTTTATCAGGAGGCGGGAGTAGGGCAAGACCCTATCTGGCCATCCTGTTCTGCACATCAGGGCCTGGAAGCCTCGGCCGTGCTCCGAGGGGGGATGGTGTGTCTCTGGCAGCCGCAGTGGGAGGAAGGGAAGGAACCAGGTGGCCATCTTAGGGGAGGTTAGGCAACCTGGGTGTGTCCCTGCTGGGTTGTTTGTCCAGAAAGTGGGTAAAAGGGCACCCAGCCTTCCAGGTGTGTGGCTCTTATCTCCGAGGAGCAGCCCCAGAGGGTTTGTGCCTGCCTCAGATGAGGTCCCAGGGCTGGAGACAGTGGGAGGAAGCTGCCATCCCGCCTGCAGGGACCAGAGCAGCCCAGCCTGCCCTGCAGAACAGTTCACAGCTTCAGGGCTTCTAGGCTCTCCTACTGTGGTCCCGCCAGATGCCAGGGACTCCATCTCTTCCACAGAACCCCTAGCAGCCTTGCCTGGCACCGCCGAGCAGGTTGCACCCACCCTCCTCCTCCCTCAGCCCTAGTCCCCGCCCCCAGCCCTACCCTCCAGCGTGGCCTGGGACCCCACAGATGTCTGCGCATCGTGGAAGGAGCCACTTCAGCCCTCCGGGGGACCAGCCCCTGGTCAGCAACAGTGCAGAATTAGCGATTTGGACAGAGACATGCAGGCAGCTGCATCCTGGCCAGGTGCCAGGTGCCAGGTGTGTTAGTGGATGCTGGGTACACATTAGTGAATAAACAGATACATCCATCCTCCTGGAGCTGGCGGCCCAGTGGGGGAGGGCGCAGGGGAGAAACCAGGGACAGATAGATACATGTGTGCAGACGCCAGGAAGAAGACAGGGAGCAGAGACAGTGTCCTGGGGGAGGGACCGACCCCCTAAGGTGGGATAGCCTGGTGGCCCATCTGAACGAATGACACGTCTCGAATAACAGCCAGGCATGCTGGTTAGCAATGGAGTTGACAGTCTGATCAAAGCCCTCGTGCCTGTCCTCGGGCTGTCCTGCATCCCACTGTCCCCTTCCAGGCTCTCCTTACAAGCAGCAGCAGCCTTGGGGGTCGTCTGTGGTTCTGAGAGGGTGGGCCCTGCAGCCCAGCGGAGCCAGCTGGGCGGCGGGATGGAGGGGCCGCCTGAGCTGGGGAGCTAGGTGAGGCTGAGGTAGTGCCAGCCGGGTGGGTGGCTGCATTCACAGGGGCAGAGGGGGGCGCAGGGAGGCAGGTGGGTGCTTGGAGGCCTGGGTGAAGCCCACACTGCTGACCGAGCTGCAGAGTGTGTTCCTATGAAAAAGGAAACAGAAACCCCGCCTGGGCACGCCCAGCAGGCAGCGGATGAGAGGCTGCGAGCGGTGGGTGGCCAGAGCCTCCTGCCAACCCCAGGTGACCCGCAGTGTGTCCAGGTCACCCACTGGGAACAGCTGGGAAGGAACATTCCTCAGAGACAGCCACGTGGATCCAAGTTTTGCTTTTTTTCCCAAGTCAAGTGATGTGACTCATTAATCTAGTTTCTTTTCTCTATTTAAAAAAATTGTAGTAAATATACATAACATACAGTTTATCAACCTAGTCATTTTTAACTGGCAATTCAGTGGCATTAGCAATATTCATAATGTGCAACCATCACACTGTCTACTTCTGGGCTTTTTCCTGACCTGAAACAGAAACCTTGCACCTAGTAGGCGATAACTCTCTCTTCCTCCCTCCCCCAGCCCCTGGGAACCTCTGATCTACTCTGTGTCTACGAACTTGCCTATTCCAGGGACTTCACATAAATAGAATCATACGGTATCCGTCCTTCTGTGTCTGGCTTCTTTCACTCAGCACACTGTCCTCAAGGTCATCGGTGCTGTAGCGGGTGTCGGAATGACATTCCTTTTTATTGGTGAGTAGTATTCCATTGTATGCACAGACTACACTTGTCCACCCATCTCTGGAGGGACACGAGTTATTTCTGCCTTTTGGCCACTGTGAATGATGCCCAGTCCAGTTCTGAAAAAGAGTGAACTTTCACCAGTTCAACACTGATGTTAATGCTTTGTAGACATGCCACCCATTCCCAGAGCAGTGGCTTTGCCTCTTTGTAGGAACACAGATGGTGACTATGGGCCAAGCACACACTGTTGTCCAGAGTCCTCACAGTGGACCAGGGGGGTGGGTACTAGTATTGGCCCCACTTGAGGGGTGAGGATGTTGAGGTGGAGGGACTGGGTAACTTGGCCAAGATCACATGGGTCTCCTGGGGGTGGGTCTGGGGTTCATACCCAGGTCTGTCTGGATCCAGAGCTAGCCACCCCCTGCCCATGTCACTAAGCTGTACTGCCTGCCTGTAGCAGACGATTTCAGAATCTGCTGTATTTCAAGCATATGGATGTGCATAAGTTGAAGAATGTGGAAGGTGATTCCTGTCTTGAATGTTTTACTACCTGCACGTGGAAAAGACCACAGGAGAAGATGCCAAGCTGGCCGAAAGAACCGGGAGTCAGGCCCTGGGATCCAGAGCCTGGACTCTCAGATAGAGCGGTCTGCACAAGCTACAGTGTGTGGACCGTTATCACAGATCCCCAGCGTGGCAGCGTCAGGGAGGGCACTCCACCCTCTGAGGTCAGCCCACCACCCTCCGGCCCACCCGGGGTCCTCGCAGCCAGTAACCAACAAGGCCGGAAGCCAGGATCTCCTGGTCGAGGACTGCTGCCCCCTGCTGTACACAGAGGGCACTGCAGGAGAGGGGGAGGCCGCCTGGTGCAGGTCCATCTGCCGTTCTCATTTACACATCACAGGGACCACCCCTCATGGGACTCTGGGAGGAATCTTGCAGAAGGAAGTATTAACTATGGTTTGATAAAAAGTTTCATTGTGTCACTTGAAAGCCCTAATTACTCCTGGAGGAAGGCCCGGCCTCTGTGAAGGACACAGAACGGGGAGCCTGGGCCGCCTGGGAGCCCCCTCCTCCCCACACTCACCCACCAAGTCCTTCCATTTGCCTGCCACCCCTGGCCAGTCTGGGTCTAGGATCCCTCCCTCTCTTCTTTAAAAATTTATTTATTTATTTATTTTTTTGGGGGGGAAGGGGAGGTAATTAGGTTTATTAAACAAAAAAAAGTTTTTTCAGTGGAGGTACTGGGGATTGAGCCTAGGACCTAGAGCGTGCTAAGCATGCACCACCTTCACACGTGTTAGCTGCCTGCCTGACCCACCCCAAACCCCTCTGGGACAGGAGGCTGCTTTCAGGATTAAGTTCGAAACTCCCCTCGCCCCTCTGGTGTGTCTCTGCTCCCGTACTCTCACACTCAGTTCCCAGAATGTGCCAGGCTGCCCTGGCTCTCAGGCCCCAGGGCCCCACCCTGGCCACCCACGATCAGAAAGCCCCCGGCCAGCACCATGACCCTCCGTCCCTGCCGGAGCCGGTGGAGCAAACCAAAGGCTCTGCGCCCAGAATGCCTGGTTTGAATCCCAGCTTCTTAGAAAAGCAAGTCACTAGAAACAGGTACCCCGGATGACTGGGCATGGAATTTGCCCATGTGTTTGTCCATCTCTCCTGGAAGTGGAATCTAGGTCGTCTCTCCCGGCATCAGCGCCCGGGTCCCAGCTGCGTCCCCGCAGCATGCCCCCGAGGTCCTGCCGCCCGCGGTGCGGGCTGGAGGGCGGCCTGGCTCTTACGCAAGCACCCGGGCTCCGGCCCTGGGAGGGCCAGGCCTGTAATTCCGCCCCAATTCCCGGCTCCTCTGGATCAGGGAGGCTGTTGCTCACTAACCACGAGCTCACGGCCGCGCGCTCAATCTACTGCATCTGTAACAGGGCCGAGCTTTTTACGTCAGCCCTTCCTGCAGCAGAACACGGAAGCTCGGTCTCCTCAGAAAACGAGTTTATTTTTACACTTCTGTCAGTGTCAGCAGGGCGTCAACACAAACGTGCAGCGACCTCAACGCTGTTTATCCGGAGGACGGTCTGGGGGTTCACAGTAACTGCGAGAGAGAGGGAACACGGTGACGGCGTGAACACGGGGTCTGGCGCTGTGAACGGGCTGCAGCGAGACCGTCACCCGCCGCTCTTTCCACGAGGGCTCTGCCTCGCACCGGCCCCCAGCCACGTCGCACGTGCCGCAAATGCTTTGCGGCGATGGCTGGCCGCCTGGCCGCTCACTGCGGGGGCCCCAGCAGGAGCTGCAACACCGGGGGCCTGGAGGCCAGGGGCCCCTCACTGCGGCCCCCAGCTTTGCCTCCCCCGCCTGCCCAGGGACCCCCGCACTGTGTGGCGGGGACACCCCACCTGGCTACCTGGAGGCCAGTGGAGGCGGCGGAGGGTGAGGGAGGCTCCCTGCTGACCCGATTCTGGGCCAGCCGACGCGACTGTCTCTGGTGCACTTCACGTTTACCGCCAAGGACTGTGAGCGCTGTCAGCTGTCCCTCAGCACGTGCAGGGGGCTGGTTCCAGGACCCCCGAGGGCACCACAATCCAAGGATGCTCAAGTCCCTCCCATAAAACGGTGTATGTTCGCACACAGCGCGCACACACCCTCCCGTGCACTGCAACCCAGCTCTAGATGCCGTGCAGCACCTCACACTCTGTAAAGCTGTGTGAACAGCTGCACGTACAATGTGAATTCTATGTAAGTGGCTGCTAGCACAGCATGTTTTGCTTTGCTTTTTGGAACTCTCTGGAATTTTTTTTCCTAAAAACTTTCGACCTACGGTTGGTTGACTCCAGATAGGAAATGTGGGGATACAGAGAACCAAGTACACATTTCTCAAGATAGGAGTCTACAGTTGGTGAGGTCCTGGTCTGGGAGCCCCTACTTTGTGGGGCGGTGACTTCCAGTGGAGCCCCCGCAGGGACAGCTCTGTTCCATCCTGTGTTCCCACCTAGATGGGAACAAAAGGTCACCCAGGGTCGAGGAGAACGGGGAGACGCAGGCCCGGAGCAGCCAGGCACTCCCTCCAGGACAGGATAGCGGGAAGGGGGCAGTGATGGCCAGACCGAGAGCTGCTGGCTTCCCCTGACCCCAGGTACCCCCCGCCCTGGTCCTGGCGCCCACCCCGCAAGGCTGGGCAGGGACACTGGGTCTCCCGCCCCAACTCAGGACACTCGCTCCCCTCTGGTCCCCGCCCGAGCCACCTCCTTCCACCATGCCCCCTCTGCGGCGTGGACCAACTCACCCTCTCCATCCACTTCCCACTGACCTGGCCCCTCTGCTCCCTCGTGCACTCCCTCTGCCCTGAAGTCGCCCCTCAGACTCACTGCTCCTGCAGCTCCACCTCCTGGCACTGCCAGCCCCTCCTGCAGCCCCCTGCCGTGGCTTCGGTTCTGTGACCCCCACCACTAGAACCAGTATCACGCAGCTTGCTCTGGTCCACACAGGGGCTCTGTCCCTTCACCTCTCTGCCCTCTGACCCCACACCTTCCTGCTTCCATCCCCTCTCCCTTCCCAGCAGCCCCACCTGTGAAGCCCGTCACCAGCTCTTTAAACCACCAGCACCGCACGCCCCTTCAGCTCGGGGACAGGATGGAGGGGCCTCCCGTCCCAGGCTTTTCACTCCCTGGGCTGGAGACCACCCTCCTCGCTGTCCTGCCAGCCAGACGCCCTGACAACCACACCCTCCAGGGGCCACTGGACTTTAGGCCTCACCTCTGCCCAGCCTCCCTGGAGGCGGGTCCAGACTGCCATCCTCTGCTGGGATCCCCTCCTTCAGGCTCCAGGGGAGCCTACCTCCATCCTCTGAAAGCCTCTTTCACAACTTAAAACAAATCAGCCCTGCCTGTGTCTCCCAGCACAGTCCTGACCTCTCACCCTTCCTGCCACCATCTCTTCCCTTTAATCACCTTCCAAGGGCACTGGCCCCACCCGCCTCTACTTCAGGGACAAACACAAAGGCCTGAAGCACCACAGGGAGGTGAACTTGGCACAAGAACCCCGCGATCCCTTCCTCCTCCTGCTGCCCCTCCTCCCCAGAGGGGCACACCCAGGATTCTGCGTGTATCACTATTCCCTTAAGAGACGTGCACCATGCACGCGTGTGTGGACACGGGCACGTGCCTGGCCGTGTAGGGCCAAGCTCTGTCCACCTTTAGGTCGTGTAACATGGCATCAGGCTGTGTGTAACCGAAGATTCACTTGCGCCTCGGAGAAGGGTGGCCATCACTGCCCTGCTAGACTGTCTCACTGAGAGAGAATCTCCCACGTGTCCGTCCACTTCCCGAGGCGGACGTGTGCGGTGCCGCTGGGTTTTCCAGCATGGACCAAGCTACCACGTGGCGTGTTCCTGTGGGGCGAGTGGTCCCCTGGCAGCCTGTCTGAGGCCCCACAAACGCTGGGGCGGTTAAGGATGACCCCGCCTGCCCCTCCCCACCAGAGCCGGGAGACGGGCAGCACCCTGACCGGTCTCTGTGGCCCCGAACCCCTGGCAGCACCAGGCAGAGGGCAGACCTGGCCTGGCCCAGTGCAGGACGTGGGGGTGCCACCCCGACAGGACCCGAACGCAGCCAGCTACGCTTTTTCCAACTTACTTCTTCTCTTTCTGTAGTTTTTCCTTTTCTTAAACTTCATACTGATTTTTGGCCACGACTCTGTCTTTTCAATGACCGTGGCTTCTACTCGAACAAGATCCTTTCTAGGAGGGAGGAAGGTGAACAGCGATGCACCGTCTTGATTACTTTTCAGTTTTACTAATGCTTTATGTAAGAATTCCTGAATCAAGATTTACTTTCTTTTCTGCTGGTTATCAAGGCGACACGCCCTCCCTGCAAACACTGTGAAAACTACAGAAAAGCACAGTAAAGAACAGTGTGGTCTCCCGGCAGATCTCAAGCGGGCCAAACCACAGTGAGCCAGTCACAGACCCGTGCGCTCCACTCGGGACACCAAGCACCCCCATTAGGAAGTGTAAGCACCATGAGTTGGGGTTGGCAGCGAGCGTGGTGGGAGCCCCTCCACCCGGCCTCCCCAGTGCCCACCGCCCCCCCCGGCCCAGCAGCCGAGAGCCCGTTACCCGAGGAGCGGCGTGCCGAGCAGCGTGAAGTCGTCGGCCCCAACCAGCAGGACCTGGAATCAAACAGGCTCGTTACCAACAAACGGCCCACAGCCGCTAGGACAGGCAGTGACTTGAACACGCTGGGAAGCGAGACAGGCGCTGGTTACCTGCCATCTAACTAACAGCTCCCTTAACCCGGAACAGAGGGGACACCGGCCGATGACACGGCGGTGCGTGGGGGCACCGGGCTGCCTGTGGAAACACCTGCGCTGTCAGACCAGGATGCGTGTGACTCCACCACGCCTCCAGGTAAGCGGGGAACCTCCTATGGAAGCGGTGGCTTTGTTAAAAAACCTTTTATTATCTGAATACGTAATAATACGTACAGGGGAAAAATGTGCAAATCAGACTGTGGTGTTTTTTGAAGCAGTTCACAGTCCTCCTGACACTGCAGAGATTTAGGTTCAAGTGTATTTTCAGTAACTGAAAATCCCACACGGCCAAGCAGCCACTCCCGCTGCCGGGAAACTGATGCTGAGCGTGGCCTCGGTGCGGACAGCTCTGCGCTCCAAGCGCGGTAGTGCTCTGCGACACGCTGGGAGACTGAAATTTTACCGATCAGAAGAGAATTCGACTGTACTAAACTTGAATAACCAAAGACAAAGCCTGTTTTACCACAGCACGTGTGCACTGTGCCTGCTGGGCGACGACCAGTGATGAAACACCGGTGCGGCGGCTCTCAGCAGGGCGCGTTCTCCACAGCTGGTCCCCCAGGTTCTGAAACACCATCTGCCTTGGGTGGGGCTTCCCGTGCTTTTGCTAGCATTGAGATGTTTCAAAATAAGATATTTTTAGAAATCTCACAAATACACTCCAGGAGTCTCTGGTTTATTTTAGAGGAAAAAGTAAATGTGCTTTTGTCCAGGAGCTCATGGTGGAGCCACTGGGGTTGCCCGGAAGGGGATGGCTGTGCTGGCGGCTGGGCCAAGTGGTTGTGCTTGGGTCACAGACCGTGAGGTCACCTAAGAAGTAAGAAGCTGACACTCCCCTGGATGGAAATGTGTGAAGACTCCATGATCACAAAGCAAGGGGGAGTTTTAAATTATAAGGAAAACCAAATGTTACATTACCTTATATCAACAGTTAAATATGTCCCAGAAAAATGATCCAGTGTAGAGATCTTGCATTTTCTTAATAGTTTCTTAAAACATTTTATTGTGCTTTTTATTTTTTTATTTTTTTGGGGGGGAGGTAATTAGGTTCAATTAATTGATTAATTAATTAATGGAGGTACTGGGGACTGAACCCAGGACCTCGTGCATGCTAAGCACACACTCTACCACTGAGCTATACCCTCCTCCACTTTTATCTATAATTTTATAAACAGAAGAACAACAGGCAAAAACCAAATGGACCCATAAACACAGCAAACTGGGGGGCAGACACACTTAGCTAAGTATGCAGGACAGACCAGGCAGCTCCAAAGTCAGTAAGGGGACCAGCGCCCGGGGACAAGCCTCTGAACCAGTACTTTCTGTTCAGAACCAGCAGCAGCCGTCAAAGAAACCTAGCGTCAGAGGGAGGTTCCAGCTGAAACTGAACATTTTCTCCTTGTAAATATGGGCGTGAGAACTCTTTACAACCTTAACTGGGATTTTCAATATCTGTGATCAGTTATTCTCCTGTAAGGATGTGCTAAGGAGACGTGAGACAAAGCCACAGATGGGAGGTGTGCTGGTGTCTCCCTGGAAGGAGGGCCATCCCAGTCAGGGCCGCCCTCGGGGCTGTGGTGCAGCTCTGCCCAACCGCCTGGCCCTGCCCGCGCCCGCTGGGCCACCCGCCGCAGCCTGGGGAACGATTGCCACCTTCACCTCCGCCTTGAGGAAATCTTCCCAGAGGTGACCCTGCAGAGCAGGGACTAAGTCCCCGAATACACAAGAAACAGACAGTCTCACCTTCTCCAGCCGAATCCTCTCTCCACAAGCAACGTCTAACTCGTTTTCAATTAAAATCAGGTCCTCAGAGGTCACCTTCCACTGGTGGCCGGCAAAGTGCACTACAGCAAAGAGCCTGCCGTACTGGCCCGTGGTGATCAGCTCGTTCACCCTCCCCACGACCTCTGTGGGGAGAAGGACGGTCAGGGTCACAACCAGAAGGCGGCAGCGACGTCCCCACTCCCGGTGCCCTCCGCTCCCTGCAGCCGCACGACTCCGAGTGCCATGGAATGGGCGGCAGCAGGGCATGTGTGGGGCTCCTCCTCACCCTCCCGGGGTGGGCCTGGTGCACGACACAGGGTGAGCCCACTGTCCCCAGTAGGGCTGGCACCTCGGCACGTGGGGCTCTTACAGATGGAGGCCCCCAGACGTGGCCCCCTGTGGTCCTCCGGCCTGAGCACTGGCACGCCTGACCCTGTTTCTCTGCTCTGCGGTGGAGAAGCCTTCACCATGTTTGGTTCCCAGTTATTACTAATAAGGAGCCAGGGGTCTGGTGAAGCGAGAGGAGAGGCCTTTGTGCAAACAAGGAAAACCTAGGATTCCACCTCGTGGTGGGAGAGTCCACCTGCATGCCTCCGCCCACTAGGGATCCCCGCTCTGCTCTCCCCGCCTCCCCTCAGGTCCCAGCCTGCCCAGCCGTGCCTGGGGCAGCCGTGTGGAGACAACAGGACACAGTTCCGCCCTGGAAACAGGTAAGACCCCAGCTGCACCGGGTCAACAGGGAGGAGTCTGGCCCGAAGCTTTATTTATCTCGCACAGAATCCAAATCAGTATTGTAAAAAACTGGGGTGGGGGTGGTGGCAGACAGATAGTGGTGGAGCATGTGCTTACTATGCACAAGGTCCTGGGTTCAATCCTCAGTACTTCCATTAAAAAAAAAACAAAAAACAAAACCAACCAAAAACCTCAAACTGGAAGACTGGACAAATTACTATGGATTTGCAGCTTTTGGAAGCTAAGGATCTCACACTCCCTCTTGGAGACACTGGACATGGCAGCTACACCACCCTCCCCATGACACGAGCTCCATCTGACACACCCTCTGCCCAGCACGTGGACAGGGCTGGTCCACTGACGACTGTATGCTGTTCCTCTTCCCTGAACCCACGTTTTCACCAGCGGCAGGAAGACAGAGCTGGGCCCAGCCCCCCCCCCCCGCCCGCATCACCTGCCCGCAACACGGCTGCTGCTCTTGGAGGATTTGCTCAATGAGCGTAGGTTTGAATTCTAGTGCTGGGTTAGTGAACCTGAGTGCTCACACCGTGCCGTGTCTCGGGCACCCAGAAAGTGCGATCCTTGTTGTGTGGCCAGGGGGCCACCTCCGTGGCGGGAGGAGGGGTGTCACCCCCTAGTTTCTGCCTCTCTTACCTGCATGGTGCCTGGTCTCCTCAACAGGGTCAGGCAGAACCACCTCTGGCCAAGGTGGAGAACTCAGTGATGTTTTAGGAACGTATCTGTAAAAATATTTGGTGCATGCAGGTCACTCATGTGAAGAGACAGTGCGAAATCCCTGAGCAAGGGCCGTGCCCAGGACACTAGCGGGGACGAGGGCCCAGTGTGTCCCGGGTGCTCACGTTGCTGGTGGGGCTGCTGCCCTTGTGGTCGGCAGGGGAGCAGAATCTGCTGCCCCAGCTGTCTCTGTGGCAAGTGGGTTACTTCCAGTGGAAAACAATCAAGGCCCGAAAGACTCAGAAAGAAATCCTGACCAACGGGAGGCAGGCCGGCCTGGGTCTGCACCCAACCACCTGAAAGGGCTGAGATGGAGGGCCTGCTCCGCAACACAGCATCACCACAGACAGCTGCCAAGAACGGAGGCCTCTCTGAGACCCGCGTCAGCGCGGCCCAGCAAACACTTATTTACCAAGCGTTTGCTTTTCCATCTCCAGGTGAACTGCCTTCCCCTTGAAGTCCCAAAGCACTGCCGTCAACATCCTCTGTCTTTAGCTGGAGACGCTGCTCAAGGCGAGGGCTGCGGGCACTTTGACGGGTTACTCGTCTCTCCCTGGGTCTCCCCCGTGTGTGCGTGTTGCTGTTAACCTGTCTCCTGTCAGCTCAACTCTTAGATTAGCCAGAAGATCCTAGAAAGGCCGAGGAAAGTTTCTTCTCTCTGACAGTCATGGTGAGGAAGACGTGCAGGAGGCCCAGATGCAGGCGGGGAAGTGTCACGCTCGCCCCCTGGGTGGCTATGACTATCTAGCACAGACCCCGCCTTTGGTGTAATCCTGAGGACAGGCTCCCACGCATCCGCTTAGGAGGGCCACGCATACTGTGCGACAAAGGCTAATCACCCAGTAATCAAAACAGGCATTCTAAGCATTCTGTTCCAGAAGAGCCCCTCCCTGGAGTAGCTGAGGATCCCAGGCTGTGCCCCAGCCCACAAGGCTTGGGCTCCCGGTGTCCTCGGGGCACACTTCCTCCCAAGGCCCGGGCTGTGACGCCCCACCCCTCTCTCGCTTCCTTACACGACCCTCAACACAAGAGCAAGAAGCTCTCCCCACTCGCCTGGCACCCAGGGGCCCAGAAAGCGGGGCACTGATACCTTCCCCTCCCTCTCGCCCAGTGGGACCCCTTCCCATGTTCTTCCCCACCTGGTCACCCCTGCCTCCAACTCCCACCATGGAGGGGCCAACTCTTCCTTCAGGCCCCAGGGGAGGCAGGCAGGCCGAGGTCTGCACCCCAGCTCTGCCACTGACCAGTCACATGGCTTTGGCAGGGATTTAACTACACTGCATCCTGGATTCTTCGAGAAAGTGGGAGTAAAACCCCCTCCGGGGCTGCAGGGGGCCCAGCGGCAGAGTCGGGGAGAGGAGGCCCACCATCATCAACAGTCTGCCCACCCCATGTACTGATGTGATCTGAGTGGGTGCAGGGGTGGGAGAAGAAGGGGGGCCTGGACACAGAAGGGGGTGGGTCTCCCTAACTCCCTGACCTGTTTTGGACACAAATTCCTGGAGTCTACAAAGAAGGGAGAGGTCGGTGGGGCTCAAATCAAATTATTCAGAACCACTTTGAAGCTGTTGTTGCTGAAAGCAAAGGGCTGGTCCTTCTACTCCAGGGCTGGGTCAGGACAAAAACAGGGAATACCCCACCCCAGGGCCAGGCGCCTCGGTCATGGTCATGGCTGGTGCGGAGCCCAGGCCCGCGAAGTGAGCGGGCCCCCTCCTCACGGGGGCTCGCTGGCTGTTTTGGTGTCACCTGGCCTCTACATTAAATCCCCTCCCCCCCGCCACGCTGTGTCGGAGCACCTGCTACCAAGATCTTACAGCGGCAACAGGAAAACTCAGCCAAGTTCACAGAAACACCCACTAGGTCTGCTGCCTCCGTCTTAATTCAGGGTTTCCCTTTCCCCTTTAGAGAAACAACAGAGCCCTGGGTCTCCCACTGCTGAGAATCTCGGGTGCGCAGCTCACCACGTGCCAGGAGCTGCGCTCAGCTCCTGAAAGGTAGGGATTCACTCGAGGCTCACGGAAACCCATAGAGAGCTGCTAACATTGCTTCCATTTTGCCGAAGAGGAAACAAAGCTTTGGGGGGGGGGCACACAACCTTAACTCTGGCTCAGGGACCAGGGCGGGGCCGGGCTGGGACCAGGGCGGCTTCCCGGGGGCAGAACCACTCCCAGTATCACTCCTGTACATTCCCATTGAGTGTGATTCTGTCAGATTTACCTTCCTTGGTTTGTACTAGTTTTATGGTTTTTTTTTTAAATAAGGACAAAATTTTACCAATGAATATGCCCTTCCAAGTTACATAAGTTTCTCCTAGAGATTCTGATACAACCTTTCTGTGATTTGACCTTCCCAGTTAGAAATCTCCAATTAGAAGTTAAGATTTTCGTTAAAAAGACACAGCTATGCGAGGCCGAGAACACGTCTGTCCTTGGACTCTTGAGGTTCTACCTGTATTTCTATATGTCAAGGACCTAAGAAAAATATCATCAAAAGAGTTGAAAGAAAATGCAAATATTTTTGAAAACCCAAACATATGAAGTTTTGACTTTGGAAAGACATAGAAAAAAGAGTCATCAAAACCCACATTTTGATATTACCCTTGTGGAAATGAAGCGCTCTGTGAACTGAAACTTCGAGAAGCAGACCACAGGGAAGCTGAGGGAAGAAGAGAAACACGGGTGTTACTGTGTGCAGACTGCCCCTCATGATGCTACGGGCGCGAGTGCTGTGACTGTCGCTGGTACCGGATTTAAACCACCACCTCACAATGCGTCTGCGGAAGAATCTAGGCCAACACAACTCCATGAACATCACTTAGAGTTACTGGTTGTTACTGCAAGCGTCAAGATGCATTCGTCACACCATCCAAAAGGGCCTGAAGCTGAATCACCTACCCACTAACCCATTTCTTGACCACTAAGTGCCCACTGAGTTCAGGCTCTGTTTGGTATCCAAATGCAGAAGCAGACCCCAGGATGGCCCGATGAACATGCCTCCTGGTGTTCGCACCCCTGTGTTGTCCCCCACATGGAGCTCTGACAGGATGGCACTTCCGAGAGAAAGTTCTAGGAGAGTACTGCTGTCTTGAAGGCCCTCTCTCATCTCGGCTGTAGGGCCAGCACGCTGTGAGCTCGGAGGCCTCCTGCCAGCCCCAAGGGAGGGGTCTTGGAAGCAGATTTGGCGGCCCCAGCTGACAGCCCTCACTTGACGCAAATGAGCGACCTGGAGCCAGAAGCGCCCGGCTGGGCTGCTCCGGCATTCCTGTCAGAAGTGGTGGGACGTCATAAACGCTAGTTATGTTAAGCTGTGAAGTTTTGGGGTGATTTGGTACTCAGCAGCAGATGAGGAACCCATCAAGGGACAGAGGCGTTCAGAGTCTCTCGAGAGGGCTCAACAGGAAAGCGCACAGTGCGTTAGTGCAAAAACAGAAGGCGCATTTCTCAATAACCACTTAAAAAAAAATTGAGCTCTAATTTACATACCATAAAATGCACCCCTTTAAAGCTCACTCATTAGCAGCTGTTCCCAATTCTTGATCTCCTGGGCTGGTTTCCCCTCCCTCTGCCATTGGTGTGCTTGGGGTTTAGACCTTGGACCTAACCTCCTCTTTACCTATGGCCATTCCTCTGGTGATTGGCTCGAGCAGAAAGGCTCTCAACACCACTGATGACTCCCAAGTTCACACCTGCAGCCTGAGCTTGGCTATGACAACCACCTGTCTATCTGCCGTCATCACCTGTGTGTCAAACAGGTACCTTGAAACCTAAGAGAGGCTCTTGGTCTTGCCCTCATGCCTGCTTCTCCCATGCCCCCTGCATCTCACACAATTGCCTCCTTCCAGGTGCTCAGGCCACAAATCTCAGTCACCTATGACTCTTCTCTCCCACCCCTCAGCCAACCTATTGGCAAACCCCCTGGTTGCTCTCCAAGAGATCCAGCTCTAACCACCTAAATCCCCCCATGCCGCCCCACCTTCCACCTGGATCATGGCTAACACCCTGCCCTCCATCTTGCCTCCCTCTTTGTACAGTGGCTCAAGTGGTCCTGTTAAAACTTAGGTCAGGCCATGTCACTATTTGGGGAAACTCTCCAAGAGTGTCCCATTTTGTTCAGAGAAAAAGCCGAAGTCCCCACAGAGGCTGACAGGGTGGTGGGCTGTGTGCTCCCCTCTGCCTCCCTGAGCCCACGGATGTCACGAGCTTCCCCTTAGTCACTGCACATCTGCCACTCTGGCTTCCTGGCTGTTTCTGGAACAGGCCAGGTACCAGAGCCTAAGCCTTGACTGCTCTTCCTTGGATACCCCCGCCCCAGGTATCTGCCAGGCTAATTCCCTATTTTCTCTGGGCCTCCACTCAAATACCATCTCAGCAGAGAGGCCTTCCCACCATCCTGTTTAAAAAGGAACACTTTCGTCCCAACTCATGCTTTATTTTTCTCCATTAAGACTTATCAACTTCTAATATACTATGGAACTTGCTTCTTCTTAAACATTGACTGTCTCTTGGCACATCCCTCTCCCTCAGAAAGATAGGTCCATAAAAGCAGGGATTATTGTTTTATGTTTATAACTGATGTATTTGCCATACTTGGATGAGTGTTTGACGCGTAACAGGTGCTCATTAAATAGTGAATAAATGAATGAACGAATGAATGAAATCTACTCTGCGGAGCCGTCAAATGAAGCCCCTGCTGGGATACTCCATGTTTGGGAACTCAGCACCTCTCCTGAGAGCCATCCTGCTGTTGAAAGCTCAGTTAGAAAGTTTCAGCACCTGATCTGCTTCCCTGAAATTCTTACCTATGGTCTTAGCTTAGCCCTAGACCCCACAGGTAACCAATGTGCTCCCGCCCTTCGCAGGGGACCAGATCCTTTAGATCTCTAGATGGTGACAGCATCTTTCCCTCTCGTTTCCTTCATTCACTCTTCAAGGTCCTGCCCGTTCACCATTTTGGTCCCTTCTCTGTACTCAGTTCACTGCATCCATGTTTCTCTCTTAAAACGGTGGGTCTAGAATGCAGCATTCTGGAGGTGGTTTCACGTCAGCATAATGGATTAGATTAAGTCCCACAGCTTCTGTAGAAACACCCCTACCTGCTTAAACCCGAGTTTTACCAAGGACAGTGGCAAGCACACCAGAGTGAAGAGAACAGAAACAGCGAGTCCTAAAGTGTCTCCCCCCAGATTCAAAGTTACCAGCTCAAGGCCAAGCTTGGCTCATTTACAACGGCCTCTGGCCCAAACCTTCTGTGACAAGACAAGCCTTCTTTTAAAAAATACAACCACAACATCACTATCACACCTGAAAAGGGAAACGATTCTTTTTTTTTTTTAATCATCAAATAGACATTCTGGTTAAGATTAGGACATCCATCTCCATTTTCCAGATGAGGGCAACGAGGCTTTGAGTGGTTCGCAGCCTGGGGGCAGAGGTTAAAGTACAGGCTTTGGAGCCAGACCAAGTTGTCTGATTCAGTCCTCTCCACGTCCCTGCTGTGTGACCATGGGCAAGTTACCTAACTAGTCTGAATCTCAATTTGCTCCTCCGGTTAAATAGAGCCCATGTAGACGCTGGAGAGGTACTGTCAGTATTGAAGCTACTTAAATACTGTCAGTATTTAAGCTACAGTATTTAAGCTACTAAGCTAATAACCAGGCTCTGAACCCGGGTTTCCCCCGACTCCAGAGCCCGCGCGCTATATTCACCGCACCGGAAAAAGCAATCAACACCAAAGCATCAGGTCGGACAGAGACACACGTGGCGGGACGGCGGGGCGCACTGCTCGCCCCGGTTCGTCCCTTCACCCCGCAGCCCGGGTCTCACCCGCTTCGGGCCCCGACGCTCTCAGGACGCTGCGGCCGCACGTAGACACCAGCCGCCAGAAGGTGACCGGCAACGCCGAGGCCACCACGGCCGCAGCCATCTTCCCACAGCCTCAGAGCCGAGAACGGAAGCGGAAGTGGCGCGAACCCGGTGCGTCGACGCACCGGGCCCGGCCGGAAGCACCGCCCCTTGCGGCAAACGGACCTCCGCGGCTCCAGGCCCGGACCGGGCGGCGGCCATGGCCTCGGCGGCTGTGGAGAGCTTCGTGACCAAGCACTTGGACCTGCTGGAACTCGAGAGAGACGCGGAGGTTGAGGAGCGCAGGTACGGCCGCCGGCCCGGGCCTCTCGGGGTCGGTCCGGCGGTTTCCCCAGCCCGCAGCTCAGACCCCGGGCGGAGCCTCTGTGGAGCTCGGCCTGACCGCCCAGGGGCAGGGATTTGCTCTCCTGGCCCCTCGAGTCCCGACCGCGGCTGTGAGGAGGCTCGGCCGCCTCCGGGGATGGAAGCCTCTTCACCCCCAGGGCAGCCTGTTACGTTTTGGGGACCCTTGGGAAGCCCTTTCTGTTCCCCGCCTGAAGTCCCCTTCTGAACTTTGACTCGTAGATTCTGTCTCTCTCCCCAGTTCGATCCCCAGCGTGTTCTCAGCCCTCTTCCTTACTCGTCCACCCGATAAATGTTTGTTGCTGTTCTGTGCCAGGCCCCGAGTGAGGCAGAGTCATGGATACGGTCACCTAGAGGCTGGGTGTGAGCAGAAGGGGCAGATGGAAGCGTAAACAGTTCCCTTCCAGCGTGACATGCTAACGCTGTGTGTGTGTATGTGTGGAGACAGTGCGGTGGGAGCGTGGAGGAGGAACATCTGATCCTGGGGAGCATTAAGTTGAGGGTGGCTTGCTGGAGGAGGTGGTCCCCGAGCTGCGCTTGCAGAACAATGGGATTTAAGGTGGATGCGGGGGCGGAGCATTTCTGGAAGAGATGTGGGGACCAAGGGCAGCCCTTCTAGCGAAGTCGGGAGCCCTGGAGAGTTGGGCTTGTTTCTGAACTACTGAAACATTGAGAGCTGAGACAGGGCTGTAAAAGCACTTGAGGTACGTTAATTCCTTTGAAGCTCATGCCACCCCTGTGAAGTATGTTACTGTAATTCTCCTTTTATGTCTAAGGAGGCTTGAGACATAAAGAGCCTAAGTAACTTGCCCAAGGTAACACAGGTCGGGTCAGGATGTGAGGTCAGGCAGGCTGATTCCAGAGCTTGCATTCAACTGTTGCACTACAGAAGTTGAGAGGATTTGTTTTAAAGGTTTTCGATTACAGAGGTTAAGAGCATTTGCAGTCATACCGACCTTAGTCGAATCCCCCATTATGTGTGGCTGTGTGACTTGGCAGCCCTAGTTATCCTGTCTGTAAAACGGGAGCATTCTCACTGCAAACCAGTGAGGCGGGAATACAGTGACTTCTAAGTGAAGTGCTCAGCCTGGGGCCGAGTGCAGAGTCAGCACCTGTGGGGACATGGACGGGGTCGGTTTGAGAAAGGCCTTGCAGAGAAGCTTGTGTTGTATTCTTGTGCAGAGGACGGCCCTCAGTGCAGTTGAGCAGGTCAGGGAAGTGAATCGCTTTGCATTTAGGCTGCCTCTGGAGACTGGAAGGGGAGGACCCAGAGGTAAGGCAGTTAGAAGGCTCAGTTTAGTCTGGACGATCAGTGATGTGGGCTTGAGCCAGAGCTGTGGCAGCAAGGGAGAGGCAGAAGTGGATTCAGGGTATACATGGGAGGGACCTGGTCGGACTCAGGGACGTGTGGGACCCAGGATGTGGGGATGAGAGGAGAAAAGATAAGGGAGAGTGAAGGGTCTGTCTCAGGGTGCACCAGGGTGCACTGGGGCTCTTGGAGGAGCAGGTTTGAGGAGGGCTGATTCAGAATTTCCCTGGTCAGATTTAGAGCCTATGCACAGATCTCCAGCTGTTTTTTTCCTCCCTTTTGCCTTCCTGCTGCCTGGTTGGAAGTCAAAACTGGAAAAGTACAAATACTGAAGTCTCCACATTGGGTGTCTCCCAGGTCCTGGCAGGAAAACGTGTCTCTGAAAGAACTCCAGAGCCGAGGCGTTTGTCTGCTGAAGCTGCAGGTGTCAAGCCAGCGGACCGGGCTGTACGGACGGCTGCTGGTCGCCTTTGAGCCCAGGAAGTGCGCGTCTGCCGCTGTGCTTCCCAGTAACGGCTTTACTTCTGGTCCGTGCATTTTGTTTCGTTTTGTGAGGGGAGGTAATTAGCTTATTGCTGTTTGTTTGACGGAGGTCCTGGGGACGGAGTCCATGGCCTCCTGCGTGCTGATCGAGCACTCTGCCGCTGTGCTGCGCCTCCCCCGCTGTGCGTTTTCGACATGGGCATGCGCTGAGTATTGCTGTCTTGAGGTGTGGATTGTGGAGACCGGGTTACGTGTGATCAATTGGAGAGGAAAGCATGACAGTAGGGAGTTCTCAGCTCAGCCATCACGAAGCTTTTGGTCGTCTAGACCTGTGTCCATCCCTGAGCCAGTCACTGGCCAGGGGGTATGTGGAGCCCTGATGGGCTCAGGTGTGAATGGTGTGCTCTGTCCCTGGCATTGGGGGGGCCCCTCAGACTCACCTGGCGATGGGCGAGTCCCCGAACAGTTATCACAGGAGTGAGAGGTCCAGCTGAGGGGGCAGCAAACCACCACTGGCCCCCCGCCACCAGCGCTGTTTCCCCCTGGAATGTTCTCCCCCACATGTGCTTCACTGAGGGCCCGCCTGCTGACCTGTCACCCCTCAGAGAGGCCCTTCCCACACTCGAAAATGGCACCCTCGTCTCCTCGACCCAGGGCTTCATCTTTCCTGAGGCGCTCGGCACTGACACCTGAGAGGTTTTTTGTGTTTATTCCTCTCCTCCCTGACGTGAGGGCAGGGTCCATGTTTTTTTCTTAATACAGACCAGTGCCTAGAACAGTGCCTCGCACAGAGTAGGCACTTTAAATATTTTATTGACTGTTATGTTTGTTTTCAATAGTTTATTGAGCTCAAGTAAATTTTCATGTGTGATGTTAGTTAAAAATGTCTTTTCTTACTGCTGCTGATTGCATTTCTAATGAAACTAACAGATGCGGTATTTGAAATGTGCTGAAATTTACTATATGAGGTATTCACATTGAACTTTGTTCTGTGTAACTGGCCTTTGTGTCTGCAGGCGATATAGTGGGTCTATATGACGAAAGTGGTCAGCTGGCCACGGGGATCCTGACCCGGATCACCCCAAAGCTGGTCACGGTGGCCTTTGATGAGTCCCATGATCTCCAGTTGAGTCTGGACCGAGAGAATTCCTACAGACTGTTAAAACTTGCCAATGACATCACTTATAAGCGACTGAAAAAGTAAGTGTGTGTGACTGGCAATCACAAGTAACGTTTTCCCTAAACACATCTCACTCCTGCTGGACGAAAGCAAGCAGGCATGTCTGGACTGGGGTCGGCCGCGCACCCCTCGCATGAGACGGTGGGCTGCGGGTGGCCGCACTGGGCGGGGACTTGGCTCTGAGTTCATTGCTGGTTCTCACTAAGCTCCTAATTTTCATTTTCTCCCCTGGCAGGGCTCTGATTACCCTAAAGAAGTATCATTCTGGCCCTGCATCCTCACTCATAGAGGTCCTTCTCGGGGGAGCAGCCCCCAGTCCCGCCAGTGAAATACGTAAGAGCTGTGGTTTTCCTCTTCGGATTGAAATCACTGTGGACAGTATCGAGAATGCTGTGACCGTGGGCTGTTTTAGCAGGGGTTTGAGGATGTGCAGTGAGAGGAAATCTATCTTCGTGTCTCCTTATAAGTTTCTTTGTGTGACTTGCTTGAACTAACTCTGTCCTTCAATGTCAAAGAAGTAGCTCATTTCACTGGTTTTTTAAAATGGTTTTTTTTCTAATATGTCTAAATATTTTATTTTGAAATGTCAGGACTTTTCCAGCTCAGTGCCCTGTGAAAACGGAGGCTAGCTGATTGTACTTTACGCTTGATGGCATTTTTTTGTGTGTATGTGAAGTCTCAGTTCCAAATGCATTTAATTATTTTCTCAGCATCCTTCAAATTGAAGACAGCTTATTTCTAGTTGTAAGAGTGGTATGTGTTCGTCGTAGAACTTTGGAAATAAAGAGGCGTATCAACGAGGGAAACAAATCACTCAGAAACCTGCCGTTTAGGGTTAGCCTCACGGGTGTGTGTGTATTCTTCTGGTTGTTTCTCCACATCCGTGTACACACACACACACACATACACAGTGTGTCCTCTGCACTCTCATCTCCTTCAGTGTCTTGAAGAGCCTCATGTTGAGAGTTTATCATCTCATTAAGCAGCTGCCCGGAATTTAACAGTCGTCTAGATGTTGGGCTTTGCCGATTTTTACAGCATAGCCTCAGTCACTCTAACAGCAAGGCCACCCTGCACCCTCTTCCCGTCACACCTGTGCTAATACACTGGCCATGTGACGGCTTTCGGCTCAGGGCTGCTTTGTACTTCCTCACATCCCAGAAGCACTCATGTTACAGTAATGTTCTGTTTCTGCCAAATGTCTACTGAGAGGCTGCTGTGAGCTGGACACAGAATTAGCGCTTTATTTGCTGTGTTTTAAGGGACACGATGTGTCCTGGTTGTTGCTAACATCTTGTCTAGGGGAGAAGGGACGCAGAGTGGGACACAGGCTGGAACTTTGGGTTGGATGCTCTATTCCTTTTTCCAAGTTAGTTTCGGTCTTACTTGTCTGGGTCAGCACCAGGTGCTCACGGGTCCAGCATGCTCACCTCTGTGCGGCCAGCACTGCGTGGTGGGGCTGCGGGCTCGAGGCTGGGACAACGGTGTCTGCTTTTGAAGCACAGCACATACAAAGCAGATAACTGTTTTTTTAAAATTTAAGTATAGTCAGTTACAACGTGTCAATTTCTGGTGTGCAGCACTATGTCCCATTCATGCACATATATACATATATTCATTTTCATATTCTTTTTCATTAAAATTTATTATAAGATATTGAATACAGTTCTTTGCGCTATACGGAAGAAATTTGTTTTTTAACCTTTTTTAAAATGTATTTATTTTCTAGCATGTTTTTAAAATTGAAATATGTATTTTTATATATAGTAGTTAATAGCAGATAATTACTCTTGGTCTCGGAAGATTCAGAGCAGACACAGGCCCTGGATTTACTAGTAATTCTTTTTTGTCCTTTGTTTTTGTCATTTCATGGGTAAATAAAAAGGGATAATGTGGTAGAAATGAACATGTTCTGAGAAATATTTACTGCAGAAAAATCTGTTATTCTGGAGCAGGGTTTGGCAGACTTTTTCAATAAAGGGACAGATGGTAAATATTTTTGGTTTTTTGGGCTGAAATATCAGCAAGCAGCCAGGGACAGTGTGTGAGTGGGCGGGTGGGGCTGCATTCCAGTCAGACCTGACTCGGGAAGCAGGCCTGTGGTCCCCGGGCTGCAGCATCCAGTTCCAGGAGAGAGCTCGTGGAAACAAAGCAGGTTTTGTGTTGACCGGCTGAGCTCTGGGCTGTCCAGCTCTGTCTTTGGTGCCTCGCTCGCCTCCATCTGTGCAGGTGTAGGGAGGAAACACCGGGTGGTGGTGGTGGTGGTGGTGGTGGGGAGCCGGTCCTGACTGCTGCTTCTCCCGCAGCCCCACTGACCTTCTGCAACGCCTCCCTGGACGCCTCCCAGAAGGAGGCAGTTCTGTTCGCGCTATCCCAGAAAGAACTCGCCATCATCCATGGGCCTCCTGGAACTGGGAAGACCACCACAGTGGTCGAAATCATTCTTCAAGCTGTGAAACAGGGCTCAAAGGTGGGCAGTGGGCGCTGGGTCCCCATCAGCACCCATTGCCCTGGGCTGCAGCTCACAGGTGCTCAGTGGGGCCCCGGCCTGGGCTCGGGTGGGCTTTGTCCAGAGCGATCCTGAGTGTTTTCTGACTGAGCATTGGGCCGGGCCCTTTCGACTTCTGGGATCACGCTTGGGAATGTCTGCCTGGGGTATTGAGGTCTGGGTTACTGTAGACCAGGCCACCATCCAGGACCCGTGCTCTGTGTCCAGGCCCTGCCTGGCATGCTGGGTATGCTGTGGGCATGAGGGCGGTCAGAGCCTGTCTGTGCCCTGCAGGAGGAGGCCCTGTGGCAGGTCAAGGGGGACAGACGTGTTTCAGTTAATCAGATGGTCCGGTTAATTGATACCACTGGTTTCTGAGATGTGGAATATAACATCCACATATATAATAGATGTGAACAATAACATTATTGTTCGCTTATATTTTTAATGGTTGAGAAAGGATCTTTTATCCTCATCTGCGTCAACACGAGTCATCACGGGTTCTGAGCACATGGAAAGCTTTTTAAAAAAATTTCTGGTTCATAAACGTTGGCTACTGACTTTTAGGGTGACACTGGGTGTTTCTTACAGACCAGGCATCATCCTAAGCTTTCCCTTGTGCTGCTCCTTTGACCTGGTGCAGGGACTGTGTGGCCCCATTTATAGAGGAAACTGAGAAGCAAGGTCGTGTGTGCTGTCACTCAGCAGTGAGTGGCAGAGCCAGGACTGAACCTGGGCTGACCCTCTCCCAGAGCCCTTGCTCTGAGCCTCGCCTCTCTGCGGGCAGAGCTGCGGCCCTTAGAGCTGCAGGGAAGTGTGTCACTTGGTTACAAAGCCACGTCCAGTGCTTTCCCACAGAGTGTCTTGGCACAGATGTTTGAAAACTTGTAAAAGATGACTTACTGGCAGGAAGCAGATTTGGGGGTTTAATTGGGTGCTTCTGTGGCACCTGTGTGCCCGCCGTGGCGCAGATGTGCCCAGGCCACCTGGGTTGGGTGGAGGCGGAGCCAGGGTGCTGGGAGGGCTGGCCGTGGCTGCCTGTTCTAGGGGTGGGCGTGGGTAGGGACTGCCCCCTCCGCCTCCTCTGCCAGCCCCACCCCACCTAAGAGTGGGACTGCAGTTTTGGGAGCAGGATTGAGCCCATTCAGAAAGGTTCCACTTTGTCAGATGATAAAACGGTTTGACTAGGGGTGAGACGGATGTCCCACCCTGATTGTCTCCGGGCACATTCCTTCCCGTTGCAAGTCAACTTTCCTGGGCTTGTAAGGCTCACAGGCTCCTGAGACTGAGGCCTGGTTGCCTGGAAATCATGTCGGCTTGCAGCGACGTGCGCCTCCAGGCTGCCTTCGCCCGCCCTCTCCGCTGTGCATTTCCACTTCCACTTCCCCACTGTTGCACGCTCCATCCACCTCTCTTGAAGACTTTCTGTTTGCTTTAATGTAAACTTAAGTGATTTCATTAAAAAAGAAATCACGAGTCTGAGTTTGAGCTGTGCTCCGCAGGTTCTGTGCTGCGCCCCCTCTAACATCGCCGTGGACAACCTGGTGGAGCGTCTGGCCCGGTGGAAGCAGAGGATCGTGCGCCTGGGGCACCCCGCACGGCTCCTGGAGTCCATTCAGCGGCACTCCCTGGATGCGGTGTTAGCACGCAGCGATGGCGCCCAGATCGTGGCCGACATCCGGAGGGACATCGACCAGGTCTCTGTGAGTGCGTCCCCGCTGTGTCCGCGCTGCGTGCAGCGTGTGCCTCTGCCGTCGGTCCCGCAGCGCGGGGCGTCTGCCTGTGTTCCTCTCGCCGTTCTCTGGCCTTTGGCGAGTCACTTAATCCTTTCAAACGTCGGGACGCCCACGTTTGACAGAGACCTGTGCTCGGCTCTTAACAGGGACTCACCTGTCTTCAGGTAGTTTCATGAAGAGGAGAGCAGGTGTCTTACGGGAAACATTCCTCTTCAGGGTCCTGAACAGCCTCCCCCCACACCCCCCACCCTTCGCTCCCTCTGTGAGTACTGATCCTGTTGGCTGGATAATATTGACAAACAAAAAAAGGCAGACTGAAAATGAAGATTCGGAAAATATGTATCGCCCCTAATTTTTGGGTCCATTTTACATGATCCTCCTAAAGAGAACAAGGTAGGTGACAAGCCAGTTTGAGATGGAGTTTCCTCGCGCAGTTTAGTACTTCTGAGCTCATGGGTCCTCTGGTTTACACGTCCCCCCATCCCCTTAGGTGTTTGTTCACCGTCCGCTGGTCTCACTGCCTCACGTTCCTCTCCTCGGCGACCTGGCCTCACAGGCCTGGTGCGGAGAGGCAGGCGTTCCCGTGGGCCTGTTAGTAGCGGAAGCACCAGGGGCAGAAACCAGGATACACGCGTGTCACTCGGGGTTAAAGGTGCTGTAGGAATACGCGGTGATGGGATTTGTGCTCTCACAGATGTGAGTAATTCCGCTTCTTGTTCCTTTTTCAGTCAGTTCTTTTTGGAATTTTCTTCTCTGGGAGTTAGGCACCCCTCCTGTCACCCCTGCCGGACTCCGTGCTCCAGGCAGACGCCACAGATGAGGAGAGGGCTGCGTGTCTTTGAGTGTGGAAGTAAGGCAGGGTCCAGGGAAACACTTTTTGGGTTGAAGAAAATACTTTAATCTCTTGACAGGTGATGGATACTGAGAGAAGCTCGGCCTCTCTTTGTGTAAAAGCTGCTAAAACCCAAATCCTGGCGTGGGCGGGTGCTGTTTCTTCCCCGAGAGCAGATCTGATGACTCTCTTCAGGGTGGGACTGGGGCTGGGGTCCGACCGCTGGTCTTCGCTCAGGTCCCAGTTGAGAACGCCGTCTGCTTCGTGGACCTCAGTCTCCCTTTCTCCCTCCGCTGTGCAGGTGACAGTGGTGCTGAGGTCAGGACGCCACTGCGTGGATCTGTTGCTCCTTCAGGAAAGATTTTTGACCTTTTAGCGCCTTTTAAGGGACTCATGGAAGTGGAGCAAGTGACCATAAAAAAAAGCCCTTTGCAAATTAAAAAGAGCTAAGTAAGTCTGAGGTTGTATCAAAATTCTGATGTTCCCTCTGCTTTTCATTGTAGTTGAAAAACAGGAAGACCCAGGACAAGAGAGAGAGGAGTGATTTTCGAAATGAGATCAGGCTGTTGAGGAAAGAGCTGAAGGAGCGTGAGGAGGCGGCTACCCTGCAGAGCCTGACGGCCGCCTGCGTGGTCCTGGCCACAAACACAGGTGAGGCGCAGCCGGCGGGCGTGCCCCCCTCCTGGGTCTTCTGGGACCCGTTTGTGGAATTGTCTTTGAAACTGGGTAGAACGTGCCAGTGGGGCTCTTCTGGGCCTCGAGTTTTCTGTGTGGGCAGGTTTTCAACTGCAAATTCCATTTCTTTAATTGAAATGAAATATTCAGTGTGTTTCTTCTTGAGTGAGCCAGCCTGTGTCTTTCAAGGAATTTGTCCATTTAATCTAAATTGTTAAATTTATAGGCACAAAGTTGTCTGTAGGGTCCCCCTGTGATTTTGAAGGCGTCCGTGGCATCTGTAGCGACGTCACTGCTTTTGTTTCCGATATCGGTGCTTTGTGTCCTTTTCTTTTTTCCTGACGTGTGCTGGCAAGAGGTCTCTTAATTTTATTGATCTCAGAGAACCAGCTTTTGGCTTCACTGGTTTTTCTCTGTTGTTTTCCCGTTTTGTGTTTTGTTGATTTCAGCGTTGATTTTTACTGTGTCCCTTTCTGCTTACTTGGTTTTAATTCGCTTCTCGATTTCTGTTGTCTTCAGGTGGGAGCTGAGGGCATTGGCTTATGCTGACTTGGGACCTGCTGTCTTTCACACTGTGGGCATTTAGTGCTGTACGGGTTCCCACGTGTTTGCGTTCACAGCATCTCGTAAATCCTGATGTGTTTTCGTTTTCATTCATTGTGAAACACTGTCTCATTTCCCTTTTAATTTTTTTGGACCCATGATTGTTTAGAAGTGTGTTATTTTCTTCCCAAATGTTTGGGGATTTTCCGGCCATCTTCCTCTCACTGGTTTCTGATTTAGCTCCTTGTGGGCGGAGGACATACTGTGTGCAACTTGGGTCATTTCCTTGAGACCTACTTTACGGTCCAGAATATGGGCTTTGTGAGTGAAGAGTGTGCTCTCCGGTCTTGCTGGAGCGTCGTCATGGCTGACGGCGCATCTGCGTCCTCTCCGATTTCTGTGTACGTGTCCTGTCGCTTGTTGAGAGAGGGGTGTTGAAATCACCTGCGACTATTTGGTTTGTCTGTCTCTCCGTGAAGTTCTGTCAGTGTTTGCTCCATGTCCTCGGTCGCTCTTTTATCAGGGGCGTAAATGTTGTTCTCTTTATTAGTCAGTCAGTTTTTCATTGTGGAACGACTTTCTTTATCCCTAGTCATGTTCTTTGAAATCTACTGTGTCTGGTCTAAAAGTAGCCGCTTAAGCTGGAGACAACTTTTAGCTGCTTTCAACCTTTCTAATGCGGCCACTTGGTTCTTAAAAGCTAGCAAGCAACAGTCTTCTAGCCAGCCGGGTTATAACCTTGTGTAATGTTATCACGACGTGACACCCCATCACCTTTGCCAGGTCTTGTGGGCTAGAAGCCAGGCACTGGGGGTCATAGCTGCTGTGAGTACCAGGAGGCCGGGGGCACGGGGGTCGCCTTGGGGTCTGTCTGCCGCAGCCTCTCGTGGGACCTGCGCTAAGGAACAGAGTCCGGGTTCTGCTTCGCTTTGTGATCATTGCTTTGCCCAGTTGTCTTTTAAGTCAGACAGGACAAGAAAAGAGCTACAGAAATACTGTGCTGCCGCCTTCTGTGTCTCCCTGCGTCGTTGCCCCTGGCGGCCTCTTCGCTGCTTCCTGTGGACTGGAGTTACTGTCTGGCGTCCTTCATCTCCCCCTGAAGGACGCCCTTCAGCACTTCTTGAAGGGCGGGCCTCGGCTCCTCTCTGGGGTGTCTTTTTTCCTGTCTGTGTTTGAGTGACTGTCTGTTGGAGGCAGAATTCTCGGCTGACAGCCTCCTTCTTTTGTGCTGTGAACATGTCCCCGCTGCCTCCTGCCTGCGCGGTTTCTGGCGGGAAGGCGGCGTTCATCGCCCCGAGGACCCCCGTAGGGACAGGTTGCCTCTCTCTCGCTCCTTTCTCTGCCTTTTGGCCGTTTGACTGTGAGCCTCGGTGCAGCTGCCTCTGAGGGAACCACTTGGAGTGTGTTGAGTCTCTTAGATGTGAGCATTGTTTTTCATCAGATTTGGGAAGTTTTCAGTCATTTATTTTCAGATGTTCTCTCGGCCCCTCGCTCTCTGCTCTCCCTCTGGGACCCCTGTTGCGTGTGTGTCAATGTGTGTGACGGCGCGCCAGGGTCTCTGAGGCGCTGCGCGTTTCCCTTCGTTCGTTCTTCTTTCCGTTTCTCAGACTGAATAATTCAGTTGGCCTGTCCTCAAGTTCGCTGGGTCTTCCTGTTCAGATCTGCTGTGTGGCCTGTCCAGTGAATTTCAGTTACTGTGCTTTTCAGCTGCAGGGCTTAAAAAAAAATCCTGGCCCTTTATGGAGAGTCTATTTGGTGAGACGTTATCCTTACATATTCTTTTATTTCATCAGCTATGACTTCCTTTTGCTCTGATCATATTTAAAGTCACTGGTATTAGAGTCTTTGCTTGGTAAGCCAGCACTGGGCTTTCTCAGGGACGGTTTCCATCAGTTTCCTTTTGTCTGTATCTGGGCCTTACTTTGTTTCCTTGTATGTGATTTCTTTGTTGGAGACTGAGTATTTTGAAGAACAGCGTGGTAGCTCTGGAGGTGAGGTTCTCTTCCCTCCCCAGGGTTGTTGCTGCTCCTTGTTGTTGGTGCTTGTCTAGTGGTTTTCCTGAGCTGGTTCTGTGAAGTCTGTGCTCTGCGTCCCGAGTGGCCGCTGCAGCCCCTGCTCACTTGGCTTTGTGGTCAGGCAATGGTTAGATAGACGCCCTTGAAGTCCTGGGACCAGTAAGTCTGCTGGTCTTTGTCGAGAGTTCTGTGTGTGTTGGGGAGCACTGTAGCGCTCAGCCAGGCGACTTCTGACCCAGCCTTCATTTTCTGTTGGCACAGAGCTGCAGGGTGAGCCAGGTGTGAGCGCTCAAGGCCTCCTTGGGTCTTCCCCGAGCAGCACACGGCCCTTCATGAGTGTGGCCTTCTGCTCCAGCTGTTATCCACTGCCTCCCAGAGCACTGGTGTGCAGCACTGGCCTCTGGTTGCTTTCCACCAGCAGCCCCGGGGAGAGGGCTGTTTGCAGTGGCCAAGCTCCAAGTCAGGTCAGATAAAGACGGTCCTGCCAGTGGGACCTTCCAGGGAACCAGCAGACGGCTGTGATGGTGGCAGTTCTTTGGGGATGGGGCTTGGAAGGAGTTCTGTCCCCCCACGAGTCAGGCTGCTGATTGCCACTGTGATCACAGGCCATTTGTTTCCAGGCCACCAAGGAGCCAGGGAGCAGTGCCTGGGCGTAGGGACCACGGAGTCCACTCGTCCTGCCCAGGGTTAGCCATTTTTTGGACTAGATGCTCCTGGGTTGCTGCAAGCCTTTGGTTAATTTCTAGAGTTCTGAGAAGGTTGGTTCTGATAGTTTTGTCAGTGTTCTCGTTGCTTTAGTGGAGGGGAGGATTTTTAGAGGTCCTTACTCAGCTGTTTCTGCTGACATCCTTCTCTGACTTTTTAAAAAATTTTTTGTTGAAGTATCGTTGATTTACAACGTTGTGGTTAGTTTCTGGTGTACAGCACAGTGATTCAGTTATACATACATACACAGTACATACATAGACACACGTACGTATTCTTTTTCAGATTCTTTCTCATTATAGTTCATTACAAGATATTGAGTATAGTTTCCTGTGCTCTACAGTAACCTTGTTGTTTATCTATTTTTTTATATAGTAGCTTGTATTTGCTAACCCCAGACTCCTAATTTATCCCTCCCTCCCTTCCCTCTTTGGTAACCATAAGTTTGTTTTCTGTGTCTGTGTATCTGTTTCTGTTTTGTAAATAAACTCATTTGTATCATATTTTAGATTCCACATGTAAGTGATACCATGATATTTGTCTTTTTTTGTCTGCGTTCACTTAGTATGACAATCTCTGGGTCTATCCATGTTGCTGCAAATGGCATTATTTCATTCTTTTTTATGGCTGAGTGATATTCCACTGTATATATAGACTACATCTTCTTTATGCAGTCATCTGCCAATGGACATTTAGGTTGCTTCCACGTCTTGACTATTGTAAGTAGTGCTGCTATGAACATTAGTGTGCACGTGTCTTTTTGAATTAAGAGTTTTCTCTGGATATATGCCCAGGAGTGGTATTGCTGGATCGTGTGGTAACTCTATTTTTAGGTTTTGAAGGAATCTCCATACTGTCCTCCATAGTGACTGCACCAATTTACATTCCCACCAACAGTGTAGAAGGGTTGCCTTTTCTCCACACCCTCTCCAGCATTTATTGCTTGTAGACTTTTTAATGATAGGCCATTCTTTTTTTTTTTAAATTGTTATTATATAAATATATTTTGAAATATTTATACAATTATATACTTATATGTAAGCACTTACACGGGCTTAGAAATGATGGCCGTTCTGACTGGTGTGAGGTGATACCTCATTGTAGTTTTGCATTTCTCTAATAATTAGCTATGTGGAGCATCTTTCTATGCACCTGTTGGCCATCTGGATATCTTCTTTGCAGAAATGTCTATTTAGATCTGCTGCCTGTTTTTTGATTGGGTTGTTTAATTTTCTGTTATTGAGCCGTATGAGCTGTCTGTATATTTTAGAAATTAAGCCCCATCAGTCACGTTGTTTGCAAGTATTTTCTCTCAGTCTGCAGGGTGTCGTTTTGTTTTGTTTATGGTTTCTTTTGCTCTGCAAAAGCTTTTAAGTTAAATCAGGTCCCATTTGTTTATTTTTGCTTTTGTTTCTGTTACTCTAGGAGACGGATTCAAAAACATTGCTGCAATTTATGTCAGAGTGTCCCGCTTGTGTTTTCCTCTAGGAGTTTCATAGCATCCGGTCCTCCCTTTAGGCCTTTAGTCCATTTTGAATGTATTTTGTGTATGGTGTTGGAGAATGTTCTAATTTCATTCTTCTACACGTAGCTCTCTGACTGACGTTAAATGCAGCCCTGGCTGGAAATCACAGCCCCCCTCCCTTGCTGAAAAGGTTAGCATGTGGCCTTTTAGGTCCCTCCTGGTTGGACCGGGAAACCAGAATGAGTTTCCTAGAAATGCTTCCCTTTGCACCTGAAGTCACATCCATAATCTAAACACATCTCTTTGTTATCCAGAGCCCGGTCCACATTCTGCTTCCTCTACAGGCACTCTCCCTGACCGTCTCTGAAAAGCCAACCTCAGGACATTTATCAGCATATAGATTTTAGTCATAAAGCAATATATATGCATTTATATTTACATGTGTGTGTGTGTGTATCTCAGTGTCAGTAACCTAGGGAAAAGGGCAAGAGCTAATGTTTTTAGCATTTACTAAAGCCCACCTTCTTGTGGCAGGCACTTCACACGTGATATGTAATACACAAGCTGCATTTTTGTATATGTACTTAAACATCGTGTGTGTGTTACAGGGCACCTGTGTGCTGTGTTAGCATGTGCCATCCTAACAGCCCTGCGAGATACAGGCGTTGCCCACTTTGGCAGATGAGGCCCCAGGGCTGGCTGGCTTGCTCAAGTCCCCACCACTGTTTGCGAGAGTTGGTGTGGGGTGGGGCCGGGTCTCGCTCACACCTGACCTCGTTCCCCTGTCCCGCTCTGTGTTCCACGTCAGAGCAGTCGGGGTGGTGGTCTCGTGTTGTCAGACACGTGGGGGTTTTTCCCTGGGTGAATGCTCAGCGGTTAACGTTCTGTGTGTCCAAGAAAATACCTGAGAAGAGAATTAAATTCTAAATTTAGAAAATGATACAGAGACAATATTTAGAATTAAGACAGCCTTCCAGTCACCCAGAGGGGTGATTGATTTTGGTGACTGAACGCTGGAGTGGCCCGTGGCTAGGGACACGCCACTTTACCCTTAAACACAGGTGGGCTGGCACCACGAGCTTCTGAATGTCCTTCCCAAGTTTTGTCCCGAGATGCAGACATACTCCCCGCGGCCTTAGCGCGAGGCTAGATCGTGAAACTGCAGCTTGTTGCGTGTCTCTGTCAGCATGACGACAGCTGTTACGACACAGCCATCGCCCTCTGTAGAGGCTTACAGTTCTGCTTTCCATCAGGTGCCTCTTTGGACGGCCCTCTGAAGTTGCTGCCTGACGGCCACTTCGACATCGTGGTCGTCGATGAGTGTGCCCAGGCCCTGGAAGCCAGCTGCTGGATCCCCCTGCTGCAGGCCAGAAAGTGCATCCTGGCCGGAGACCACAAGCAGCTGCCCCCCACCACAGCCTCTCACAAGTAAGACCCCTCTGCCTGGAGTGCCTTTCTCTGCCCCCCCCCCTTTCCTGTCCTCCCAAGTCCAGCAGGAAGCCCTGGGCTTACTGGAGCTCTAGCTTGTGTTGGGAAGCCAGAGCTGGTGTATTTAGTTAGGGGTATGTGCTGGGCAGGCAGCTGCCTGGGTGTCTGAGCTCCCGCTCTGGGGAAGGGAAAACCCTGGGGATGTTTTGGCTGAAGGCACAGTTCAGTCCACCCACACAGAAGAACCTATTCCAGAAATGGGGCTCTCCGAGTAGGGAGGGGCAGCCATCTGCCCCAGGTCACCAGCGAGCAGGGCGTGGGCAGCAGGCAGCTGACCGATGGCTTGTAGGTGGTGGGGCCGGAGGTCACAAACGTGCCCGGGGCTGCACTCTAAGTGGCGGTTTTAGAAGGAATCCTGAGTTCAAGTCCTTCTGCGAACGTCCGGCCTGCGGTGTGAGCAGGTGCTCGGGCTGTGCGGTGCTGGGGCAGCAGCCCAGTGGGGCAGGGCGGTGTTTCTGGTCACGCTGGCTGTGCCGACCTCGGTGCCTCTCCTGCTTGCATCCCCTGCCCGGCTCACTACCCTTCCTTGTCCAGGCATAAGCTCTGCCAGCCTGTGGGCTCCTGGAGGCCAGGGTTGGGTGGTGTGGTGCTTGTGGCCTCAGAACCTGGTGCACACTCAGCCCCTACTTGTTGAATTGAAGTTCCCTCGGTGGGGGCCACATAAAGTCACACGTTCTCAGGTCCCAGGATTAGGACCAGATCAGAAGTGGGGACAAGTTGCGTCTGAGGTTTGGGGGCTGCTTTCCTCCATCGTCCCCAGTTTCAAGCTGGACTCGGGGGCTCAGGCCTTCCTGCCCTGTTCTCTCCTCCCCGGGCACAGGGCTGCGCTGGCGGGGCTGTCCCTCAGCCTGATGGAGCGCCTCGCGGAGGAGCACGGCGGGAGCACGGTGCGGACACTGACGGTGCAGTACCGCATGCACGGAGCCATCATGCAGTGGGCCTCGCAGGCCCTGTACCGCGGGCAGCTCACAGCCCACCCTTCTGTGGCCGGGCACCTCCTGCGGTGAGTGACGCAGTGTCTGTCATGCTGGGTGCTGGGCTGGGCTGCTCCACCTGTGGCTCCTCGTGCTGGTTGTGCACCCCGCTCTCCTGTGGGAGGGCCTGTGCCGCGGGGAGGAAGGGAAGTGCGGGCTCTGTTTCTTGGACCCCAGAGCTGCATTATCGCCGTGGCCTCACATGTTCTGTCTCCGGCCGTGTGCAGAGATCTCCCGGGAGTGGCTGCCACGGAGGAGACGGGCCTTCCTCTGCTGCTGGTGGACACGGCCGGCTGCGGGCTGTTTGAACTGGAAGAGGAGGATGATCAGTCTAAAGGGAACCCTGGTGAGCTTGTTTGGAAAGGGTTAGCTGTTTTGTTTAAATAGACCTGAGTTCCTCTTTAAAAACAGAAGCCCCTCTAGTTGCCCACTTCGGGGAGGAGCTGAGTGAAGGGAGGGGGAGAGGAGGTGGGGGCATGTGGCGGGGGAGCCGGCAGGGGTCCTGAGCCAGACGCCCGCAGAGGTTGGGCATGATCAGTCTTCTCCTAAATGGACAGGCAGGACCGGTTCAAGAGAGCAGGTCAGCCCGGGCAGCATCGTGTATTCTCGCTGTGGACCAAGCGGCCTAGCACTGCCTGGCTCGGCCTTGGGATGAGACCCTCGCTCACAGGCCTGCCAGGGAAACAGGATGCTTGGTCCAGCTTCCGTCAGAAAGGAGGCACACTTCAGCTGGGCCTCCTGCATCCTGTACTCCATCTAGCAGCCCCTGCCTCAGGGTACTAGCTCCTGGGAAGCTGCCTCAGGCACAGGGCAAGGTCATTGGAACAGACAGCACAGCGCCTAGGAGGTTCAGCGTTGATGATAGGGTGATGGGTGTCAGCTCACACGGCCCTCGTACTGAAGACTGTTCACTCCCCAGGCGAAGCGCGCCTCGTCAGCCTGCACGTCCAGGCCCTGGTGGACGCTGGCGTCCGAGCGGGCGACATTGCTGTCATCACTCCATACAACCTGCAGGTGCGAGAGCACACCCCTCCCCACTACCGTCTCTGCACGTGTCTGTGCCACTTAGCCGCCCTGGGGGGCTTAAAGAAAAAGAGTGATTTCTGGGCTCTTGTGACCAAGAACTCCAGGCTGGGATTGACACATCAGGACTGGATCCAGGGCTCAGATGACATCAGCAGGAGCCTCTGTCTGACCTGTCCTGCCCCGTCTTGAGCCCTCGCCCGGCTCCCCACGTTGGCTTCGTTGTCAGCCTGCTCTCCCGGGTGGCTGGGCAGCCTCAGGCTGACGTTGTCCTGACAGGCAGTCCTGGGGGGCAGCCTATCTTTTTACGTGGTTTCCCACAGGAGTCTCAGCTTTGAATTTTCCTGGTCTGGCTCAGGTTGTCCCACCCTGGAGCACGTCATGTGGCTGAAAGCCGGGTCTTGCCCCTCCCAGCTTGTGGAACACCGTAGGGCTGAGCATAGCACTTAAGGAGAGTTGGGTGCCGCTGTCGCCTGGAGAAGGGTGCAGGTGGTGGGCCAGCAGAAGCAACAGGCATCACCCTTTTCTTGGGTTTTCTCACATTTTCCTCTTAGTGTCTGTGTGCTTATGAAGCAAAGCCTATCTCCTTTGGTAGGAAAAATGCACCTGCTTCAAAGGACTATGAGGCTGGTGGATGCTGGCATCCTGGTTTAGAGGCATCTTATGTAGGGCTGTGTGAGGGGATGGTTGTCATGAGCCAAAGATGTGGTGAAACATCAGTGTCGGGGTGTGGGGTCACATCTGACCCGTTCCATGTGTTATTTTGTCGGTTCACGTGCACCTGGGAGAAGGGCGGATCTTGGAAGCCGTCACCCCCGAGGCTCCTGCTGGGCTTCCCCAGGGACTTGGCAGCTCTGCTGTGTGAGGCCTCCGCTGAGTTGAAGGGCCGGGTGTCCAAGCCTCCTGACCTGGGCTGTGAGGAGGCCACGGCCTTGCTTTGTTTTCAGGTGGACCTGCTCAGACAGAGCCTGGCGCACAGACACCCCGAGCTTGAAATTAAGTCCGTCGATGGCTTCCAGGGCCGGGAGAAGGAGGCCGTGATACTGTCCTTTGTCAGATCCAACAGGAAAGGTGCGTAGCGCTTGTCAGGGTCCTCCAGGGGAGCACAAAAGGAAGGATTTCTGCTGCTGCACGTGTGGCGGTGGAGCGCGGTCTCTGTCCTCCGAGCTCAGCGTCAGGCGGGAGAGCGACGGGACAGCCGGCGGTGAGAGCGGTGTGCCGAGGGCCCCTGTGGTTACCCGCTCGGGACCAGCGCCCAGTGTGGCAGAAGTGGTCCTAGGAGGTGACCTGAGCGCAGCGCGGCAGGATGAGCAATGTTGGCGGGTGGGGAGAGGTGTTCCAGCAGGCGGGACAGCGTGGGGGCCTAGAGACCAGAGAGGGCGGTGGGCTGGGAGCTCGGCATGCTGGGGGGGCCTGGGCTCCCCGCTGCGGAGGTGCGGCCCTAAACCCAGAGCTCGTCCTTTGGCCTCAGGGTGCACTTAGCCTCAGGGCATGGCTTCATGCTGTCAGGGCTGGTGCCTGCTCCATTTGGTGAGAAGATTGTCCCCAGGAACAGTTGTTGGTTCAGGGGCTTTGTCACTCGTGTGCAGTATGAGGTTGGAAGCAGATGAGAAGGAAGGTACTGGAACGCCCCTTGCACTGCCCTCGTGTCTCAGCCACAGCCCGTCCCTGGGGCTGTCTCCCAGGCCAGGGCGTAGGGAGAGGCATTTGTACTAACTGGAGAGGAGCCCCCTCAGGTACTGTGGCACCGTGCTGGAGGTGGTGGCGCGTGAGTGGACGTGGCCCCGTGGCTCGGGTGGGGGTGTGGTGCCGGGGAGGCTGACGGAGCGGCAAGATGGGCCTTCTCGGGTGATGGTTGCTGACTCGGGGGAAGAGCCTGATTCCTGTTCCTTAGTCTCTGCTACCCTCCACTCACCCCGGCTCTTTTGTAGGTGAAGTTGGTTTCCTTGCTGAGGACCGACGCATCAATGTTGCCGTCACCCGTGCACGACGCCATGTGGCGGTCGTCTGCGATTCCCACACTGTCAGTAACCACGCCTTCCTGAAGACCCTGGTGGATTACTTCACAGAGCACGGGGAAGTGCGCACGGCCTTTGAGTACCTGGACGACATTGTCCCTGAAAACTACTCCCACGAGAGTCCCCAGGTCCACGGCCCAGCTGGGGAGAAGCCCCAGGGCTCAGCTGCGCCTGCCAGGAAGGCCCCTGGGAGCCAGCAGCCCGTGGGGGCCCGGCCAGGGCGGAAGAAGCAGGGCGGGGTGCCCTTGGACTCCGAGGCCCGTGCTCAGCCCAGCGTCAATGGAGGTGGCCCCGAGGGAGCCCGAAGAGATGGCGCAGACCACTTCAGGGCTGTGATAGCGGAGTTTGTGGCGAGTGAGGAAACGCAATTGGAGTTTCCTGCGTCCCTGAATTCGCACGACAGGATGAGGGTCCATCAGATAGCAGAGGAATTGGGGCTGAGGCACGACAGCTCTGGTGAAGGGAAGGAGAGGTTCATAACTGTGAGCAAGAGAGTCCTGCCAACCCCCGCAGCTCCTCCGCCTCCAGCCGGCACCGATAGCAAGGCCCCACTCTGTCCGGAGCCCCCCAGCCCGGAGCAGACGGAGGCCCCCATCAGGGGCCCGGGCAGCCGGGACCAGCTGGACCTGAGGGCCCTACACCTGGAAAGGCTGCAGAGGGCGAGGGGCCGGCAGGAGCAGCAGACCAGGGAGGTGCCGCAGGCCGCGGGCTCAGGGCTGCGGAAGTTACCAGAAAAGAAGAAGAAAGGAGCAAAAGGTGAGTCGGTCAACTGGCGAGAACACAGTTGTGGGGTCCCCTTAACCAGGCAGTTTGCTCCACCCCACTTGCGATCCGCCTGGTGGTGCCGTTGCCCTGATGCTGCGTTTTGTGTGTGGTCTGAGCTCCCTGAGGGCAGTGGCCTCGTGCAGGAACTGGCAGGTTGGAAGAACTTGGAGGGCCTCTGCTGCAGGGCCAGGGCCTAGAGGAGCAGGCGGGGCGGGCACGGGAGCCCTCCGGATGGGAGGGCGGTCACGGACCCCAACCCTCCTTCCACGGGCTCTCACAGTGTCCCAGGCAGGCTGCGTGCCCCGCTGTCACATCCTGTGCCATGCTGGCTCTCTGCGGGGTCGCCCGTGGGCCGTTTGTTCTGCCCTCAGCCTGCACTTTGATTGAGCATCTGTGGGCACGGAGCTCTAAGACCTGGTGGTCACAGCCTGGATTTTCTGGAAACTTCTGTGAGCTCTCGTCAGAGCCATTTCCCTCTCGGCAAGACCGTGGAGCTGGTCTCGTTCTCCGTGTCACTGAATTCCTCTGAGCAGAGCTGCACAAGTAGGCTTCTTGTTTCAGAGCCGGCCTCCCAGGGCCCGAGGCCCTGTCTGAATTCCCTCTACGACATTTAGTGAGCGCTCCTGCGCTCCTGCGTGCCAGGCTTTGTTCTGGTGAGCAAGTCTGACACCACCTCGCCCTCCAGGAGCGGGGCTCTGGCTGGGAAAGAGACGCTCCTCTCCTCTTTAAACCAGGCTGAGGGCCTGTGAGCGCCCTGGGGGCGGGAGCCGGGCGTGTGCGGAGGACCTGCCTGCCTTCCGGAGGACGGTGTGAGGCGTGGTTGTTTGAGGACAGAGCGCCCAGGGGAGATTTTGTCCCATCTCAGGGATGCTGGCTCTACTCGGTGTTTGAAGCGTTTCTTTGAGCAGCCACCTTCAGAAGCCATCTGCCCCTCAGGCTCGTATGTGACCTGTGCAGTCCGGGGTCTCCAAGCTCTGTGCCGATGTCCCAGCAGCTGAGAAGTAGGGCGCAGCCTAAGCAGACCCCAGGGCCACGGCTGGAGGCCCACCAGCAAAGGGGCGGCCGAATGCAGCCCCTGGCTGCCCCGCGGCGTCTGCACGGGCCCTGCCCGGGGGCTCCGGGCGGCCCTGCCTGTCCCGTGGGAGGGTTGGGCGGGTGTGAGTCCTCTAGGACAGGCGGCCAGCACCACGTTTACAAGACTGTTTTGGATTGTGGCCTGATCACTCTCTTCCATGGGTGCCTCCCGGGCCATCTCCCGCCTCCTGGAACTGCTCTGAGGGGCGTGGCCAAGCATCAGCTTCATAGCCCATCTGGGGGCACGGGGTAGGGGGCGTGTCCCCACGGACAGGTGACCGTGGCTAAGTAGTGTCTGCCTCGAAGGACTGAAACGGCCACCGTGGACGAGGCACTTGCAGGTGAATGGGGCTCTGGGAGGCATCACAGTTCTCCTCGTGTGCCCCCACCCCCCGAGGTCAGCCGCTGGGACCTATGTTCTGGCCGCCTCAGGGCCCTTCATGGAGAACAGCTGGGAACGTGCTGCGCCAGCTCGTCCTGCCTCTTCCTCCCCAGACGATCCGCGTCAGCTGCCGGGAGACTCCTCCCCATGGTTTCCTGTGTGTCATCCCGTCTCCGAGTCTGTGTCTGTCACACGTGTGTGTACGTTGTAGAACTATGACTATACATAATCGCGTCTCTTTTCCACTCTTGAGCGTTTTCCTGCAACTTTAGGAGATTTCTGTGCATCTGGTTATAGACGTTATGGTGTCCTAACCCCGGGGCCTGTGAACAGGCCACAATTCACCATTTCCCCGGTGTGGCGCCCTCATTTGTTTAGGGTTTTTGTCTTGATAGTTAATGACAAAGGAATATCTTATTTAAGTGCTTTTCTGGATATAAGAGGATGCACTTTTCAGAGGCACGCTGTGTGCCCTGCCAGCCCCTTCCAGGAGCCCGTGCCCGAGCCCACACCGCCGGGCACCTGGTCCTTGGCTCAGTGAAGGGCGGACACCCCGCTGGAGTGAGTGTCCAGCTGCTCGCTCGCTGTGACCCCGAGGGCAGGAAGCTGCTGCGGGCCCAGCAGGACTGTTCTCCTCTGCTGCTCTGTCCTTCCCCATCTGAGTGACGCCCCTTCCCTGCAGGACTCGCAGCCATGGATCTGCCCGCCGAGGAGGACTTCGACGCCCTGGTCTCGGCCGCCATCAAGGCTGATAACACCTGTGGCCTTGCCAAGTGCACAGCCAGTGTCGCGACCTTGGGCCAGCTCTGCCAGCACTGCGGCCGCCGGTACTGCCTCAGCCACCACCTGCCCGAGGTACGCAGCCCACTGCGGGCTCAGGGTGAGGCAGGGGTGGCGGGCTTTGTTCCCCGTAGACGGGCTCCAAACGGAGACAGAAGCGGGCTGTAAACTCTCAGTGTCTCAAAGCCAACACTGACTCATGATTTGTTTAGAGCACATCAGGGCACAAGCAAGTAAAACACCAGATGCGCTGAGTTACAGCTGAGTTGGCGGGAGCTCAGGCACAGGAGATTTTATTCCAGTGTCCTGGGGACCGATCAGTGGGTTAACTTAGCAGAGGTGGGAGGGGGCCTCTGGCCCACGGTCTGAAGTGGGCTGGCAGCCTGGCTGCATTTTCGTTTGTTCCTTGAGTGCATATGAGTGGGAAGGGCCTCTGCCAGACATGGGGAGCTGGGGGCCAGAGCAGACTTCATCTCTGCCCTGGGAGGTGCAGGGCCTGGCAGGGAGCCGATAAGAGGCTAGCACATGGTATCGTGTGCTCCAAAGAGGGACCCAGAGGTGGCAGCACGGAGCGGGGCTGCCAAGCTGCCCATCAGAGTGGACTTCTTGGAGGAAGTAACATGGGCTGAGACCTGACAGGTGACAGGCAGGGAACTGGGCTGGGTGGCATGTGCGGAAATCCTGGGGAGAGGCTGCAGGGCATTTGGGCCACTGGGGGTCATGTGTGAGGGTGAGAATCCAGGCCCAGGAGGGCCTAACAAGCTGCCTCGAGGGGTCAAGCCTGGTCCTGAGGACAGTGGGGAGCGTGGGGGGTTCAGCAGAGCTGTGAGCCGGAGACTGAGTGGCCCTGCAGGTGAGGCCAGGAGGCAGCGGGAAGTGACTGCAGGGATGTGGGCCAGAGACCTCAAGGGTCTCCCTGGGGATGGGGATGAATTTGGAGCCCCTTAAATTGGTGGTATGTCAAGGATGAGAAGAGGTCAGAGACCCAAAGTGGCCCTTGGGTTTCTGGTTTGGGCGGTGGGAGGGTGGCAGTGGGGCTCTCGGAAGGGGGAGGAGGGGCAGGCGACGCCGTCGTGGAGGGGTTAGGTCTGTCCCAGCGAGTCCCTCTGCAGGTCGGGGGGCGTGGCTGCCACCCACTGGGTGGCTCTGCTCATCTCTGAACCCAGAAAGCCCGGGGTGAGAGGCTGGCCCTCCTCAACAGTGGCATGGCCTCTCCATGGTCATGCCTGCTCATAAGGTGCACGGAATGTTAGACTTTTATGTGGAACGTTTAGAAATGGTCAGGCGAGGGCTTTGGGTGCCGGCTCCCGTCACATGCATAGCTTGTGTTCCTTGGTGCTGCCGTGAGGCGGTGGGTTTGGGGTCCTGGGCCACGTGGACGGGGTACCGCTGCACGTCTGTCTCTGAGGGCTGCGGGCGAGGGTGCCCAGAAGGGGCAGAGGAAGGACGGGTGCCAGGCGGGGGCGCGGGCCCAGGGGGCTCGGGGAAGCTGCACGGGGCCAGAGGAGCCGACCAGCTGCCTGTCCTGGGATCTTGCTGGGCCTGAACTTGGGACCTACCTCGCGGTTTCCAAGGCAAACACCCTTCCTTTGGGCAGTGGAGGAAGCACAGGCTTTAGTGGGTTCAGGCTGCTCCTCTGCTTTCTAGAAGGAATCACAGAACACGTGTGCTGAGCACTGGACGTGGTGCCGGCACCTGGAGAAGCCAAGTGAGCTCTTCTTCCCTCCTCCCTCCTCCTGGAAGGAGTCGGGCTGGAGCTTCACTGAAGCGCAGCATGTGACACCCGCCCTAGCGGGGATTAGTCAGCTGGTGTGAGCTGTGGAGCACTTGGCACTTGGGTTGTGTGAATCCACAGCTGACGATGCTCCTCCTTGGGAGACGTGCCCGTGAGCTAATCAGGTGGAAAGGCACTTGACCCGCACAGTGCCGTTTCCGCCGAGTGTGCTGACACCTTAAATGCCACCTAAGTGGCATGACATCGCCCTGCCGGGGAGGTGTGGGGACCCGCCCCGCACTGGCCTCGGCTCGGAGGACTGTCTGGGCTGAGGCAAGGAAAGGGCTGCAGGATGGGTTTTGGGCTCCAGCCGCCAGCCCTGCCAGGGTGTGGGGTCCCCTCCCTACTCCCCCCGCCAGCCTGCAGGTGAGGGTCCATGTGCAGGAAGAGTAGGGAGCCCCTCCGAGGTCTGTGCTGGGGCTCATGGTCCCCAGCCCTGTGATGGCAGCCCTGGGGGCCTCGTCCCTACCTGGCCTGGTGCTGACTGTCCTGTCCCCCCAGATCCACGGCTGTGGGGAGAGGGCTCGCACCCATGCCCGGCAGAGGATCAGCCAGGAAGGAGTCCTTTACGCTGGTAGTGGGACCAAGGACAGGTCCCTGGACCCTGCCAAGAGGGCCCAGCTCCAGAGGAGGCTGGACAGGAAGCTGGACGAGCTGACCGGCCAGAGGAAGAGCAAGAGGAAGGAGAAGGGAAAGTGAGGCCTGGGTGTCACACACTGCGCTCTGTTCCTCGTAGCTGCTGCTGGCGACAGTGTTGCCACCAGACCTGCACCATCTCCCCTGGGCGGACGCGGTCATGAGCCTCTCTGATGTGACGAAGGTGGCGGAGAGGCCCGGGGACACGCAGCTGGGGCCTTTAGCCCTTTCTCAGTGCCAGTGTTGGGGTGAGCCTGGCAGTGCCACGCCCCCTCCTCACTCCTGCCCTGGACCGTCCCCCTTCCTTGCGTCCTGGTCCTGCCTTCAGCATCCTGGGCTGCTGCTGCTAGGGTCAGGGAGGCTCTGTTCCCTTGGAGAGGCGCCTGAGCCTCAGGCTCTGTACAAGTGATGACCCCACTGTCCAGGGCCGGCCAGCTTTCAGCTCGTCAGGTGAGGGCGGCACCTGAGCACTCAGTTCGTGCCCTGGGAGCCTGCGCCTGAGGACGCCCAGCCCTTCTCCCGCGTGTCCCCGTGCGGCCAGCTCACCCTTCATCGGCGTTGTGACTTCGCCGAGGCCGCTTCTGTCTTCCGTTTCCTGGTGGCTGCAGTGATCCCACCCTGGCCCCACAGGGCAGCAGACACAGCTCTGGCCGTTCCCAGCTCCAGGAAGCCTGGAGGTCGGGCCTGGCGGGTGTGAGCCTGGCCTCGGCGCCATGCCCGGTGGTGGTCTGCGGAGAGAGCCGTCCCCGAGGGCTGGGGGGTAACACTTGGCAGTCCAGAGCCCTCTCGGAGGTGTCCTTCGGGGTCCCTTGTTGAGAGAACCTCAGACGGATGTATTATTTTAGTCTCAGAGTTTTACTTGTTTCAAAGGGATGTAAATTATCTAAAAATTAAATAAATATATATGCACGCGGCTCACAGTATGTTTGTGTCTCAAGTGAACGTTCTTCCCCTCTTTGCTCAAAGTATCACTTCTCTGAAGTGGCTGAGAGCACAGGTGAGCCAGTGTTCGCTCTGAATGCTCCATGGCCGGGGACGGTGGGTGTCTGGCCGCAGCCGGGGAAGTTCTGGTCCTGTCACAGGTGATGGGGAGAAGGCGTTGCTGATCTGCTTGACTTTTACACCAACTGGAATGGAAGTTTCAGATTGGCAGGTTGGGAGTTGTAAACTGACGAGGGAAACATAAGGCCAGGCTCGGTGGAAAGATAGTGGGGAGGAGGGCGCTTTGCCTTCGAGCCGCTGCTGAGTGGAGGGCCTGGCAGCGGGGCGGGGGCCTCTCCGGCACCTGGGGGTCCGCCCTCCGCCGTGGGCCCGACGCCTTCCCCGTCACCTGCTCAGCCCGAGGGCTCGCCCCTCTGCTCTCGCCCTCCCGACTTGGGCTCCCTCCCGGACCCCTCCCCCTGATTGTCATTCCCGTCTCGGGGCTGTCCCGGTGACTGGAGTGCAGGGTCTGTGCTTCGGGCCTCAGTCTCTCGGGGCTCTGGTGCCATCGGCCCCTGAACACCATTTGTCTAGCACGTTGATGGAGCCCATCCTCCCTGCCAGGCCCGCACACTTGGCCTCTCCTCTGTCAGTGCTGGGCCCACCCCCACCCCAGGCCTGGCACCCCTCCGTGTCACCCTTCCTGGGGACACCGGCCCATCCCCATGTCCAGGCCCCCTCCTGCCCCGCGTATGGGTGTCTTCCGTGCTTGCTCCTGCCAGGTGGTTTCGGGACTGAGGTTTTCAGAAAGAGGAAGGAGCGGGAACCCCATCGCACTGTGTATTTAAGAGCCACACACAGTCCGCACAGAGCTACACCGTGTACAGGGCAGTGTCGACGTCACCCACAGTGCCCACTGCCCTCGGGGGCCCTTGGCTTATGGGAAACGCGGACGTGATTACAAGATGACCAGGTGTCTGGTTGAAGTGTGTGGTTGTGCAGGGGCATGGTGGCAGCTCTTTCTCCTGCTGAGGACACCAATCACCCTGTCTTTGTGGTCATAAGCCCTAATCCCCCGCCACAAGGAGTTTCTGGGTCCTCAGCTTGATCTGTCAGAGAAACCCTAATGGCCACGCAAGGCCAAACAGGGCTCACCAGGGTCCACACACAGTTGCTGAAAGAGATGTTGGTTCTACTTCTGTTGGGGATGACCAACCGCCACCCTCCCTGCCTCCTAGAGGGAGCCTAGCCTGTCTGGAGGAGAGGAGGCGGCCAACACAGGAACAGAGCCACAGTGAGCACCCGGATCCAGCCACACCCGACCCCCATTCCATTCTTTTCAGTGTCCTGAACTAAGAAATCCCTTTCCAGCTGAAGAAAGTCTGCCCGGGGTTTCTGCCAGTCGTGGCTAGAAAGGATCCTTGCTGATCCAGTTGTGCCCGTCTGTGTATCTTATTGGGTCTACCCAGTCCCAGCGTGGAGGTGTTGGCCAAGTCAGTGCACCTCCCCTCATTAGGGAAAGAGCAGGCCCTGTACCTTCGTGCACCTGCTTTTCCCGTGGACCATCCTGCCAGGAGGAGCTCAGAGTAGAGGAAGGCAGGCAGCACCATGCAGTGGAGTGGTGGGAAGCCAAAGGCCCTATGTCTGAAGGCTGGCTCCACTGCCCATGGCTTCAGCAAGTCACTCCCCTCTGAGCCCAGCTGCTCATCTGTCACGGGGCCTGGAACCGGCCCCCTTGCCTGCGGTGCTGAGAAGTCAGCGGAGTAGTGGTGGGCAGTGTGTGCTGGCGAGAGCCCGGGCTGGGTTAGCGGGCTCCACGGCTGTGCCCGGCATGGTTTGCCCGAGCCGCCGTGCCCACCTGCCCTGCCCGGAGCCTTCACCCCTCCACCACGGACCTCCCTCAAGCCAGTTTTGACGCGTCATTAAAGTGTCATGAGTTGAATGAAGGCTGCAACCCCAGAAGTTTTCATTTCTCACTCCAGAGAGACGTTGTTGGCTGCTTAAAAAATATCCTATACTTCGGCCAGGACAGGGTAGCCCCCCAAAAGGCAAAACCACCCCAAGCCGAAGGGGTGTGTCTGCCGGCATCTGCAGGCGGCACCCTTCCTGAGGGAGCCGCCCAGCGCTGAGGAGCCCCTTCCATGCAGGTGGGCTGTCTCCTCTGCGGGGGCACCAGCGAGGGGGCCCTGCTGTTTTCTTCCTTGGAGGTGGGGGCAACACGGCGCAGGATGGAGCCCTGGCTTCAGAGTGTGCCGCCCCTGGGGCACACGCCCAGATTTACCATGCGCAGGCTGTGCGGCCCCGGGCCTCAGTTTCCACGTCTGTGAAATGGGGAGGTAAGAGGACCTGTCTCACAGGGTTGCCGTGAAGAGTGAGTGCTTTAAACTCACAAGGCCCTTGAAACGGCCCTTGGCACTTCAGCGCTCAGGAGGCTCCTGCTGTTCTTGTCACTGTCTTGCAAAGCTGCCCTGAAGGCGACACGGGGCGGCACGTGGGGCTCCTCCTACAGGTTCAGCAAATGGTATTTCCTGCTCTGGGCCCAGGCCAGAGTGCCCGGGGCCTGGGAGCAGGTCTGCTGCCAGCCCACGTTGCTGGTGTGGCGAGCACTGCGCCTCGCCGGGCACCCGGACTTCTTCCCGGCCAACAGGGCTCACCCTCGCCCCCTGCCGGTGGGCCACGGCGGGCCGCCGGGCCAGCCCTGCTGTGTTTCCCTGGTTTGTTTGGAGTGTTACCAGGGGACCAGAGAGGGCCGATGGGCACCAGGCTGCTCTGGGATGTTTTGGGCCCGAGTTACAACCTGGCATTTAAAAGGAACTGTGTTCCCTGCCAGGAGCATTGCAGAAGCTGCAGCCTTATTTGGTCTGGAAACTTCTTCACTGGGAGAAAAAGTGGAGCGAGCGGACTCCTCATCTGGGTGGGCAGAGTCAGCTCTGCCAGCTTGGGTCGTCCAGTTGGTGACTTCTCTTCATCTCTCCCTTGTCTCTCCATTTGGGGCTATCTGCCCGTCTCAGCAGAGGTCCCCCTGCCCTTCTCTGCTAGAAGCCCCGTTCAGCCCTCTCCCCCTGCCCTTATCTGTCAATAAGCTACTTTGTTGCATGACTTTGTGGAGGCGTGATCATCACACCATAAAACTCACCCATTGCCAGCGCACAATGCAGCGGATGTCAGTAACTGCCCAGGACTGTGCCTTCCTTCACCCCCGCCAAGTTCTCTGCCTCCCGATTGCAGCATCATGGGAGGATGTTCCCTTAGTTTGCTGAGAGTTTTTGTTTGATTGTTTACTAATAAATTTTTAATTAACTCTTTAACACTTTTTTGGTTTTTTTATTTTGGGGGGGAGGAGGTAATTGGGTTTATTTATTTTTTAATGGAGGCACTGGGGATTGAACCCAGGACCTTGTGCAAGCTAAGTGTGTGCTCTACCGCTGAGCTATACCCCACCCCAATTAATGTTTAAATTTTTAAATCACAAATAGGTTTTGGACTTTGTCATATGCTCTTCTGTGCCATGGGGATGACCCCAAGAGGGGTTGTCCGTTGTTAATATGGGAGATCACGTTCGTTGATTTTCGAATGTTAACCAATCTTGAATTCCTGGGACAAATCCCACCCGATCACAGTGTGTGATTTTTACACGTGTTGTTGATGGGAATATATGATCAGAAACATTCAGAAGCCTGTTCTGGGGTCTGCGGCAAACTGGAAGTTGAGTCTTCCTATGGGGCAGGTGTGCTTGGAGTCTCTTCATGCAGTGAGAGAGTCCAGGGCCCAGAGAAACAGAAACCCAGCGAAGGGTTTCTCGTGCCCCTCTGTTCCCCGTGAAACGTGGGGCCCACACCATTCTGAGGCTGTAATGCTACTTGCTTTTGCCCTCAGCCCCACGTGGAAAACTGCAGCCGGCAGAGTGGTCCTGCCCCTGGGCTGGCCCTGCTCGCCTCCCTCAGGGTGGACGGCAGCAGGCCTCTGCGTGGCGCTGTGCAGACTGGGCTTTGCTGGGGGCGAGCTGGGGCTGAAACCCATCTGCGCCCTGCCTATCAAGTCTTGTGCACCGGCTGCTGTTCCCACCTTGCCCAGAGATGCTGCTGGTGGCCTTGGACACACAGAGGTTGTGGGTGGGCGTGGGGCGGCCAGGTCTGGATCCCACAGCCGAGCCAGGGCAGGGAATGTCTGGTCGCTCCTTTCAGTGAATGGAGGGGTGTCCTGGTGTCTTTTACACCCTCTCCTGGAGTGAGAGGATGGAGACTGCGGCTTGCTGGTAAGTCTCCCCTCCCGGCCTCCAGCACTGAGATCCAGGGGGCTCAGCCCTCTCACATCCTGTCCTGACTGCTGGCCCCTCTCTGAGTGTACAGGGAAAATACTTTAATGCACAGAAGTAGCAGGCAGTTGAACCGGGGCCTCAGCCGGGAACGAGCCTGTCTCCTGCTCCCTCGGGGCAGGCAGCCATCCTCCAGGCCATGGCAGGACCCTCTGCCTCAGTGAGCTTGCGAACAGAGGTCGTACCATCTCGTTCTTTATTCTCCCAGGGGAGGCCACGGGAGGGGCAGGCCCCACGGGGCCCCCCTGACCCCCATCATGGAGGGAGGAGGGCAGGAGGCACAGAACTGAGGCTTCCTGTCAAGATGACATTGTCAGGTTTGGGGCCCAGCTCCTCACGCCCACCTCTGACCCAACACCCAGAAGTCCTAATAAAATGCAAAAAGAATTTTAAAAACAAGGAGCCACACCCCCCAAAGATAAACATCCCTGTGTTCCAGAAAACAGACAGAAATAGGGCAGTCAGAGGGGCGAGAGCTGCGAGCCTTCTAGGCTCCTGGTCTGGCAAGAAGCGGGGGTGCTTTTCCTGTGGGCAGTGGGGACAAAGGGGCCAAATCTGAGGGGGGCCAGGGGCGGGGGCCAGGGTCACACTGAGCTAAATGCCTGTCAGGGCTTTCCCATTCATCAGAGGGGGAAAGGCGGTTCCCGTTGCCATGGCCACATAACAAATCTACCCAAAACTC